GTAATGGGATTTATTTCGTCAACACAGCAACATTTTTAAAGCATGTGACTTGTGGGAATGTAAAGTTGTATCACTGAAGGAGGCATCAAATAGACACAAACATCTTTACTGAATGCAACGATTAGGTTTATTCCTTTATCACAGGAATTGCTGTTCTGTTCCATTTCTGAATCTAAACAGAGATATTAAATTCATAGCTTTACAGCTAAACACAGCTAGCCAGATCTTCTTCTAACTTAGATATATTTGATCTGTATTCTGCTCCGTCTGTTACCAGGCTGGAATGCTAAAGTGCAGTGAAAGGACCATTCATAACACTGCTGGATGGACAGCAAAGATGTTGGGCAGAAAAGGAAAAGTGTGTTGGAGGTGCAGAGGTTTCCTTGCCATGTCACAGCAGGCTAAGTGTGAAAAAAAGGAAAGAAAATGAACTATTGCATGAAACTAAGCAGCCAGGATAATTGCAAAGTAACAGTCTGCTATTGCTAGCATGTCTGCTTTAAAATACGCTATTAGCAGACAACACTGCCTTTTCATGACTCACTACAATCTCCTGACTAGGTACATCATAATGCAAAGCTGGTTACGACAGTATTAGTATCTAGTAATTTATTACATATTTAGTAATTCATTGGTTCCCATTAATTTTAATAAGGATAATGTTGTTTCATTCCACTGGGAGCCTGACAAACTTTCAGCATGAATGAGATATGTGCATATGCTCATATTGGTATTTTTTGTTGACGTGTTCTATCTAACAAGCTTTTTGTCACACATCTGATCTCATTTTTTCTTGTATGTAATAAAAATTAGTGAAATGAATTCTGAAATATACTTCACGGAACCCCACATTGTAGATGGGAGATACCATGAGAGGACTGTAAACAGTCTTTTTTTCTACTGGTAATTTTATTGTTCTGTTATCCTGTATATGCAAAACATTTAATCTATTTTAACAATACAACAACAGAATAATGCAGAAGTTTTGAGAAAATTAGTCAAATATACCAGCTTTTGATACCTTATTCAGGTTTCCAAATTAAAGCCATGGAACAGTCCCAACATGTCTAAAAATCTCACTGCAAAAAATTCTGATTTGGTAAATACTATAGGAAAAAAGCATGAAACTAGTAGGGGATTAAAAAGAAAATATAAGCAAAAATATTTTACATCATATAATGACATAATACTATGGCAGCAAAACAAAGTTACTGAGTATGGGAGGTCATTCCCTATAAAAACAACTTTAATCATACTGCGGCCAAATGATTCTTAGCTGTAATCAACCAAAAGGAATAAAAGTCAATTTACTCAGTTTATTTAAAATATAACTGAATCTTTCTCAAAATATATGAGTCCAACAGTTTTATTCTAAATGTCTAAACTTCGTGGTTTGTTTTTTTTTTTTTTTTAATAACTGTTGGCAAACTTCTTGGCAATTAACTGTGTTGAATCCTGGCTGTTGTCTTGTTTGGACTAACAGAAAGTTATTTACTGAAACTAAACCTTCTTTTCAAATCTCTGCCTGTTTCAGTCTAATGGTAACAACAACAAAAAAAGCATGCATTACTCATCTAAGTTACTAAAAAAATGTATACCAGTACTTTGTCTAACTAATTTTATCTGAATTTGGAGAAAAAAAATAGTCTGATTGCCCTAAAATTTTTAGAGGATACTGACCGAATACTACTCATCAACATTTTGGAAGAGCAAGAGGATATTTCAGCAGCCTGCTGGAACACACATAAATGAAGCTATTGCAGTTCTGCTTTTCTAGATTTGCCTTATGCAATACTCAAAGTCAAACTACAGTGAGGCACAGTTAACTGCAACCTGAAAACGATTCTTAACTCTGTGCCTTGGAGTCCATCTTTAACTTCTCCCATTTCACTGTAAGGCAACTTAGAATTATATTCATTGCAATGACACTGTATTACAAAAATGCTTTACTGTATGAAGTTGTGAAGAAACAGATGACTCTCAGGTGGATCTAACAAAGGAGCTGACCCAGTGCCCTAGATATCCTAACACCTCACCAAAGGATGAGAGTAACTCATCATGTGTTCAGCAGTAATTCATATCCCATGATGGAGAAACAAGATGAGGTAAATAAGAAGATCTCTTTTGCACAGAAGACTCATTTTGAGCTGAGATTGCATGAACCTGGATATCCATTTGTGAAACAATGTGGATAAAGAATGAATGTAGAATCAAGTGCATTGGAAGGCAAGTCATGACTGGATATATTTGAAGATGTGAAGAAAATGTGTAAGAACAGGCTGTATGTAAATATTTTGACATTCCCATAAAAAATGTGGAAAAAAAATGTTCAGCACTAAGAGTTTTCAAATACACATTTGTGCTAAGAAATAAGTGTATTTTTAAATATCCTCTCTGAGTCTGCATGTATTTTTTTCCCATCACCTAGAAGAGAACAGTGAATATGTATTTTAATTCTATGTGTCATAATATTAAAGAACCTACTGAATCTACATGATTCATTAGCTCATTGCTTAGTTCTCAGATATCTTGATCATGAAAATCCTGCACAAGTAATATGGATTTTTGATAAAAGCCTACTGGAATCATCAGCAAATAATCTAAACAATACCTGTATCGAGAAGAAATCACTTGGAATTTACTTGGAAATGTGGCCCATTTTATTTTAACTGAAAAGCATTCATTATACAGTGCAAACAGTTCTTTGGTAAATTTACTGATTAAAATAAAAACAACAAAGACTTTGTTTTAGGCAACATTAAAAAAGAAAATAAATATGTAAAATTTGCAACATATTACAGCAATATTCTCACAGTGGATACTGAGGAAATGGTCATCTAGCCATTGGCCACTGTTTCAGAAATGTTAAAATCAATGCTGATTCTGCAGACACTGCAATAAAACTGAATTAGTACAACCCATGACTGATTACATTTTAAACTGTGGATAAAGACCTGTTTTTCCTGAATGGTTTATAATCAGATGGATGGCAGAAAATAACTCAATATTACACTCGTTTAAGCATATCCAGACTCCTAAGCCCATTTTTTTATATACCATATGAATAAACAGTGAACAACGAAGAAAACCTCCCACTTTACTCTGGAGGCTGGAAAAAAGGAACAATCAGATATAAGGTACTATTTTATAATGTATAAATGGAAACTCTCTTCTCCTATACGTGGAAATCTTGAGAAAGTTTATTTAATATAAAATTGGAATAAAGAATGCAAGTAGTAACCAGCTGGATGTATTACTGCCTTATTTAACTGTTTCGACAGTTAAATTATATTTGGTTTAGCTCTGCAATCCTTCCTCTTTGAGGAATTCCTGCTATAGGTCAATGGGAGTTCCATCTGAGTTGGAATTACAGGACGAGACATGTGGTTTGGACTCTCAACAAAAGTCAACAAAATACCAGAGTATCAAAGAAATACAGGAATGACAATCTCTAGGAACCATATGATACTCAAACATGCTCGCCACACACAATTTCTAAAAGTATTAACATAGAAAATTACATAAATCAAAACGTTGTATATAAAATCAATTAAAATATTCTTAAAAATATAAATTGTAGTTCCATGTGTACCTTTACCACACACCTTTAACACAGCACTCACATGTACATATTGCTCCTACCATAGTATGAAACAAGTTTCTGTAGTAAGGTTTAAAGATACACCAAAGTTTGAGTGTGTGTCACAGTATCAGTTTATCAAATTAGAAATTATTAATGTTAGTAATCAGAGAAATTATGTGCCAAAATATTATAGTGGAACTCTTATTGCTGTGCTAGGTTAGTTATTAGATAGGTATTTGATCTACCATGCAATAATTAAGTATTCAGTCTGTTTGCATAATCTGAAATGTTTATGATGAGAATATTTTGTGCAGATTTCTTTGATACCCAAATCTCTGTTCCCTAAATTTGAATAATAAACTCAGAAGGCAGTAAACTATATAACTAAAGAATAGCTCTGGTTCTAGTTAGTCCTGACTTAGGACTTAAGGACAGACAGAGCCATAAATTCTAACATATTAAGTATTCAGGGAGAGAATCAATTCTGAATAAACACAAAAAAGCTGTAAAATGAGGTATGATAGTTGTCCTTCACTGAATATAATATATAATTCCTGGTCAAAAATGTGCAGTTTATATTCTAAAAAGTACACAACTTTGAAATGCTAGTGTAGACATATACTCTATAATGTTGAACATTTATTAAATGGGAAATAAAGTCCATTGGCAGACCATTTTTAACATGAATGATAAAAATAGTGAGGTAAAAATATATATGCATTAGATGAAACTGGAAAAAACCTAAAATATCAAATACCTTGTCAGAAAAAGTAGTCAATCCACAATTAATCATGATGCTTGAATTTGATTGTTCTTTTTTTCAACAAACAGTGCCACAATATAATCCGGAACATATGTCGATTGACAATATGCACAATGAATCAGTAGGAATCTTTGTACACAAAATGGCATGTGACATCTTTTCACATTTTCAAGACAGGGCCATACAAATACGTGAGCTGATCCGAGCTCAAGAGAAGCATGCTTTAAAACTGGACTGGATGGTCATGTTACAATGATTTAAAATAAATGAAACGAACAAAAAAAAAAAAAGGTTGCCAAGCAATTACATATGTTTTGACAAAAAGGATTATGTTCATTTTAAGATCAAATGCTACTCTGTCACGTATGTTTTCCTAGAATGAGGAACACTGTCAATTACATCTGTAATATACATTCAGTTGCTTTTTGTATCTTCCAATTACATTTATTTTTATTGCCTTACTAATTCTAGTTTTTTCGGTTTGAAAATTTTGATTAATTTTGCTCCTTGAATTAATGAAAGAATGTTGAAAGGTGCCATGTAGTTTTCTTTATTTCCTTGCTGGCCAGGCGCAGAAATGATAGTGTGATTCAACAGAATTTCCATGCACAGGTGTTTGCAGAAACTGGCCCTCTATGGCATTGCTTTGGGCACAGTGACCTTGTGTTTTCCTTTTCCCTGCATTTACTAAATAATAACAAAGAGCTAAATATCAAGTCAGACTGGTACTGAAAAGGGATAGTAAACTTTTAATATTGCTAATTAAAGATAGGAAACAAAGTGTTCATTTTAGAGTAAGTCTTAGGCCCAGTCATTTTGGGTACCTAAAACTACCTGACAGTGTTCTCTTAAAGTAGCACCAGTTTGAGTTTGTCTAACCTGAGAAGTTTAACACACAATTAACTTTGACCTGTTTGCTAATTTCCCTTTCATTCATTTTTGCATTGTGATTACCATCATGGGCAGAAAATAAAATGATACATTATGTTATACTGTTACAGCACCATTAGAATATTGTAAATCTTCATTTCTTGCTGTTAAGACTGTAGTTACCTGGTTTTGCCATCAGCAGGCATCAATATGATTTGAGGAGTATGCACCCTAAATTCTTAAAAAGCAGACTTATGGCTTCTTTTTATTGATATTTTGTTTTAGGCAGACTGGACAACAATCTCCTTTAACCTTCACAGGTGCTTCGCAGTCAGCCGGCGGGCATGATTCTACAAAACAGGTAATCTGACCAACCTGTGTCAGCAAAAAAAGTAACAAAACCAGAACATACTTAGCTACATGTTCCAAACAAGAAATACCTTTTTCATATTATTGAAGAACACATTCTCATTCATCCTCTCTAAGATCTTGGCTACTATGATTAATTCCACGTAGTTTATTTCAGCATAAACTTATATTGAGAAGGCTCTTTGTATTATACAATCTTTAATGGAGCAGTATACCATTTTATCTAATGCTGAGGCATGAAACTCTGGGATACCAAGTACTGACATATTTCTTTTACTACCTTTTAAAAAAATTTCACCATGATAAAAGAAAATTAAAATCTAGCTCTAAGTTAGATAAGCTTTTATTGATTTTTTTATGCATTTTAGTAGAGTTTTTCAAGAAGACTCTCACTTTGCAGTTAATTTTGCCAGTGCAACTATACATCAGTGAAAATGGAGATACAATAAAAGTATATAAAGGCTGGATTGAAAACCAGTGTCAAGGGCAGTGATACCTGAACAATATTTTTTGCACCAAATAACTGAAGATCCATAAAAAAACAATTAGCAACTATGACCCAGATATTAGCAGGCACAAAACTGGAACTGCTGTTTTAGCAGCAGAACCTAATATAATTTCTATCTCAGAATGGACTTCTGCATACTTACTTTGCATTCACACACAGTACAAGGGTCCCTTTTCCAGGTTTCATTGCTGGAATACGATTTACCCTTTTCATCAGTGCAATCAGTTTTACTGAGGCGCGATTCAAGTTTTTTAATCTGAAAACATTAAAAAAAAGTTAATAACTGAATCAAAGAAAGGTTTTTATTTGTGCAAGGTATTCTGTCTTTTCTCTTATGCTACATAATCCATGATTAATACTTGTCTGAGTTTTTCTTCTCACTTCTTAGTTTTCATAACGCTAAAAGATTGGAAACAGGTAATATGTATGGAACCAGCCTTTCAAAAGAAAACTAACAGAAGATACATCTTTCCATTGGAATATAAAACTAGAGCATACAAAGAGAAGCAAACTACATGTGACATATATGGAAAGACAAATCTAAACTTTAAAAAATGTCTGAATGTAAAGTGGGTGAAATAAAAAACCCCAAACCTTAATTAAAAATGTGTGCTTGGATTTTTTACTATCTCTATTTTTTCCCTAATGATGAAAAAAGGAGTTACATGATTATTTTATGTTGCTGATTGTGTGCTTCTTGGAAACAGTAATTAGGAAGGCACAGTTTTTAATAATCCCTCAGTCTTCTTTACATCCAACAAAGACAGAAGAACTGACTGAAATGTAATAAGCCTTTACATCGCATTTCCACTGTCAAAATGGGAGCACTGAAGATGAGTACAACAATGATGACATAATACCATCAAAGATCAAATTAAGTTACTATGCAAATAAATATATGATTTGTATCTAGAAATTACATGGAAAAGCTGCAAACATTTTGGCCTACTTTGGATTTTTCTGTCCTGTATGGTATACATTTTCAAAACGGAATTCCACTGTGGCTGAGTTATTCTGAATAAAGAGTTTCTTTATGCCACAATGTAAAAGTCTTCCTTAAGTGATCTAGACCTTAACTATGTTCATAGCTGTAGTCTGGCATATTACTTCTTATGAAGTCTACATTTTAATCACAGTTTTACATAGATTCCATATATTTCAGGTAGGAAAAAAAGATTTTATTAACTATACAGACAAATTTTTAGAGAAAGACTAATTCTATGTTTAGTATACAATGGTTACACAAGGCTTCAGGTTCAAAAGTCAAGAGGGTCTAATTGTAGAATATTTCAGTAAGATTTCAAAAGAACATAGAAATAAAGAATAATAACACACCATGTTCTGTGTTGTGTTTTGTTTGAGATAATATGTGGTGTTTTTTGGTTGCAGTGGATGTCTAAATATTAAAAACGTAAGAGTGATGTTAGGAAAACATTATGAATTAAATCTACAATTAGAAACTATCCATTATAGCCCCTTACCTGGTTTCTGAGGCCTGAAATAGTTTTTTGCATTTCCAAAACGAATTCTTTGAAGTCATTCACTGCGGGCATGTTTGTATTTTCATTAGATGCTGATGTGGCATTACGAAAATATTTACTCTGTTTCACAGAACTGCAACAAATGAATGCCAAGTCAGGATATTAATCTAACTCATTTTTATTTGGCTAGATATTTTAGAACACTTAGCAAAAAATGTAAAAGAAGAGCAACCAACAAATGTAGCAACTGTATGAACCACAACAGCACACAAGACCCACTGGGGCTGAAGACAGAGTCAGGTCAGGTGAGCTGTGGATTATTGTTAATATCACTAGCAACAGGGAATTTCTTCTACTTAGAAAAATAATGTATATATTTCATGCAGGGGGACAAACAAAGTTGTCATCAGTGACACTGTAGAGTATCACCTTAAATTCACTGAGATCTCTCTTGAGCCTCCAATATGAAAGCAGACAAAAGTGAGTCTTAAAAAAGTGTTACTTCCAAACATGAAATGCACATTTCGCATTCAGATTCATAGCTTCTCTCTCTATACCCCCATTAGCAAAGTGTGTCTTTAAAGAAATATGACTTTAAGAAGGAAAATTTGGGTTTTATAAATAAATGAGAAGTACTTTTAGATATGAACATATTCCTGTGTCCTATTTTAACTAACAATTTGAAATCAATACTGATTATCATACACAAGATCTACAGTCTTTTGTCTATAGCACTTTCCAGCTGTTATCTGATAAGAGATGTACAAGACTGAATTGTGTTAATCTATTCAAACTGTTGAGGGGCAACAGTTATCAAAGGAACTGTCCATAACTAATAATATATTATTTGGCACCACTTAAGAAAACATGTATTCAAAAACAAGGATAACACTAATTACTAAAGTCACTTATTACATTAAGATCCTTGAATCCACACAAGCATTCCTGTTTTGTTAGCATGCCTTCTCCAGAGCTAAGAGATACCCAAAGAATGAACTGGCAAAGAAATCCTCTCTCATATAATAGGGCTCATGATTTATAATCTTCTTGCATAAATTAAAACAGCATTTATTGGCAGGTGTTCAAGCTACTTAGTTTCCCATAGTTTTTCATCTAAATTAAAGAAAAAGAACTCTAAACAACATAACATGCCAAAATTCAAGTAAACCAGCTGCTATTGTATAACAAAAAGTTTAATCTTCCCCACCTGTTCAAGTTATTGAAAATGAGAAGAAAAAAAGGAGAAAAAAATCTTCTCACCAAAATGCAATTTAAATACAACAATGAGCATGAGAGCTGGTGAGAATGTTAAAGGACTGAGATTGCCTTAGCTTTATTTAAGCTATAAATAAAGTATTGTAACTTTACTATTTTGTAGTCCTAATTAGTAATTGGACTGTTGTAGATTTTTGAGCTTCATTTCTGAAACACAGTCAAACAGCGAGTTAACAAAAACAAGCTGCTTCTCAGATATAAGTGTTTCTTTTTTCTTGCTTTCATTTTTATTTAAACCCTTCTACAGTTTTAGAATTATGGGACTAGCATCTTTAAAAAGTGAATTGCTGTTCTGTAGATTTAAAAACTTATAACACTTCATTTGCAAACATCCTTCTTCAAGGATAACTTCAAAAGAACCTTTCTTTTTCTATTGTCTATAAATAAGCTTATACTTAGCTGCTGTCTTCTCTTGTCTAAAATCCTAAACTCTTCAAGGCTCTGTTACTTTAGGACAGCTTCCTATCAATTAAGTGAAATACAATGGTGGTGTTTCTTCAGTGCTGTAACACTCACATGAGTATTTGAAGCTGCTGAAATAAATTTACCTGTCTAATTATCTGTGTAGCTGCTTTCCTTGTCAGAGTGGGTAGACTACCTGGTCATCTCGGTCAAGTAGATAATTTTCTTTGCTAAAAGAACACATGCTATATGGAAAGAGCTATAATTCAAGAGTCTCAAATTCACTCCTCATGAAGGATCTTTACAAGAAATATTTGGTCTGAGCAGAACTAATTTAATTTCACTAATTCATAGATAAGTTTTGACTCCCTGGAAATTGCAGGGACCCTGTGCAGTTGATCATTTGTGACTGACATTGTGATTTACTTCCTTGCTAGAGTATTTTGAGGATTAGGGAGTTATAAACAACATTGTCTATAGCACTACTGTTCTCCATTCCTGCTCTGAGTATTTTGGTACTAGAAGCAATCCCTACCATTATCACAAATTTTTATGCTAGCGTTATGAACATTTGGTTTCATCTTATTTCTACAGGAGGCCCTAGCAGTTCCAAGGAGGAAAGGAAATAATTTAGTTTGGTTACTGCAGGCACAGTAGGAATGCAGGATTCCAAATCCCCCAAATTATGCTTTATCACTGAGTTTTTTCATGAGAAGCACAGGAAGAACAAAAGCACTATACTATGTCACTCATAAAGGGTCTTACACAAATCTGAGCTTGAAAAAATAGTGGTTTACTGTTAGCAGCTATGCAGAAGTGTCAGAATGAGATACATCAATCATAAACTTAAGAAAGCAGACAATGGAAAAAAGTGGTATGCACTTACAAAGAAATCATTCAGTTTCATTCCATTTTGAAAACAAATTTTTTTCATACTTCTTTGAAAAAAAGAATCTCACCTTACTGTTTTGGACATTTTCATTTTCTTCAAGGGCTTGTCCTCCTGAAAGCTGTAATCAAGAGAACGTCTTCCCCGAAAGTGATATGAAAATGCATTAAACTGTCCTCTAGTTCTACAGTCTGAAATTAGAAAAGAAATTACGCATTATAAACTACATAATTCAGCAGTTTTTAATATGGTTTTACAGTGTCTTCTAAATTGGCAAACGCAATTCATATATTCAGTCTGATCCCTCTGGAATCAGTTTGATGGCAGCTGAACATGTCTCAGTGATACAACATTTAAGCCAGCTAGATGCAGAGAATTTGGTTATTCACAGACCAGCTTTTTTGGTATGAAACAAAGGAATAAAGATTATTTTCATAAATATATCAGTGCTACTTCAACTAATCTTTTCACTTCTGAAATCTCCACTCTCTTTACTTTTAATTATTTTCTGCTTTTGGAGTGGGGTAGTTACATATGGATGAAAACAATGACAGAAAAAACAGCCTGTTGCTACCTCATCTATTCCAGACATTATTATTTGTTATTTTTGGCATCTGAAAGAGAATCTTTAATTAAATCCTGAAGAACATTTGCAGACACACTTTACTGGCTGACAAGCCCTACTTCCAAATTTGAGGGATTTGAAGGTATCACCAGTCACTTAGACCCTAAGATACTTTCCACCACAGAGTGAAAATCTCAAGCCTGAGAATAATCATGACAGAAATCTTCTCCTGAGATCCTAAGAGGATGGCTTCACAGGATGAAGTATGTCTCTTCTTCAGTTCACTTTATTTAGCCTTCCAACATACCAAGTGAGTATTTGGAAGGCGTCCCATTTCAAAAAGGAAAACAAAACAAAACTGCAACAGCACTTTGGAGGGTAGACAATGAGAAAACAGAAGTTTTCTCATTTCTGTTCACAGAAGCATTAAAATAAAAAGTTACAATCGGCCAAGCTGCAGCAGGAACCAACAGCATGTTCAACTGTTAGAAGCAAAGAGTCTGCTAAGAAAACAGAAGGGAAAACTGAAATACAGAATGCCATGGACATACCGCAGCTGAGCCTGGTATTAGCAGAATGAGCCAAGAAAGCAACTGAACAGGGGAAGAAGTCATTTTCCCTAATGTTTCTCTTAACTTGCACCAAAACAAATTTATTCAGAAAGTCATTAACATTTTATAAAGTATTTTTCTGGAATTTAGCAGTAGCTATATAGAATACCTAAAGTATTAACATGAATTGTTGCACAAGTTGCAAGTCAATGAAAGAGCCTCAAAACACTGTTGAACTGAGCAATTTGAGAAACAAATGTAAAGTTGCTCTGTGATTATACAAAAATAAGTATCTTGGACTACTTTTAATTGTATTGGACTTTTATTTAAATTAGACTGTTACAATTGCCCTGTTAGGAGAAACTTCGTTTGTCTATCACTTTATATCAATTAAGACAGGGAAAAAAAAAAAAACCTAACAACAACAACAACAAAAAGTACTGATTGATTTTCAGTACAAAACCAATACCTACAGATCATTCTTGAACACAGTTTATCCACAATTCTCCTTCCCTTTTCTCTCCTTGCAGCTTGTCCCATTCTTGAGGAAATTTACTACCTTCCTCCTATAATAACAGCATCACCAAAGAACTAGATGATATTTACTGCCAGCATATTGTTCATTCTTCTTGTGTGTTCTGCTGTTTTTCACACAATCTTCTTGCTGTGCACTCAGAAACTAAGCTCTTTCAGACGGGAATAGACTGCTGTGTCTAAGATGCTTGGCATGAAGGCATTTTTGATCATCCTTAGACACTTCTGTATTTAATATAGTGAGAAAGGGAGTCACACTCTGAAGGGCCACTGGAGAAAGAACTAGTTTTGGTCAGAGCAATTTTTTTCTTAAAGCAATCTGTTGCTTAAAGTTTTCCTGAGGATCATAGACATTTTAGTTTCTTTTGGAAGCAATTTGTGAAAGGTTTCTGCTATCCTCCTTTGTTTAATAACTGCTAAGGTCATCTCGCATAATATAGATTTATTTTTTTTTTGGTACAATAACACAATGGCCCATTGTTTTTTTATTCCTAGGTTGGTTTTTAGAAACAAAGGTCTGAGATCTTGGGACAGTTTGATCACCTTAGACTAGTAAATATGAGAACCATATGTTCAGTGGCAGCTTCAAGTACACAGACCTGACATTTCTACAGTTTTTAAAGACTCAAATATCCCAACTTGCCAAATGAACAACTCTTGTTCTTTGTTTCTGTTTCAGGTACGAGGCAGAGGACTGTCACTGCTGAGAGGTGCAGGACAGAATGCTCTAGTTTTCAGAAAGCCCAAACCATGAAGAATACCTTAGCAGTAGTAGTAAGTGAGAAAAATGAGCCTTAAATTCTGCTTTTTTCAGCCCACCCCAAATTTCCCCAAATTAGCTATACCCAGTCCAATTCATTTTCTGCACAAAAGCTGAATGTTTAAAAGCAACCTAAGAATTCTTTTTCTCTATTGACAATATTTTCTTCCAGAACCTAGGTATTGTTACACTGCAAGTGTGAAGATAAACCATTTGTATATGGAAGCCATATACACATCTTCAGAAAATACCCTGTTCCCCACAAGGTTTTAAAAATGCATCTATAATGTAAATTGGATAGAAACCCCCCCGACATTTCAAAGTATTGAGCACTCTTAATTCCCAGTGAATCACCTCTCAAAATCTGGGTCAAGGAGTATTAACCTAACAGTAGATTAAACCAAAACAACTTGAGAGACTAAGGGAATGTTACAAAAAGCACATATAATGTAACTATTGCTTCTATTTCATAGTACTTCGATTCTCTGATATTTATTGTACTGAATTAAGTTGCTGTTACTGTAAGCATTTGTATGTATCTCAGAACTCGTAGTCATGCCAGTAGGAGCAGTAAAAGGGAGGAGAAACATTGAAAATGTCTGAAATGTCAAAAGATTTTTTTGAGCAGATGTTTTCACAAAGCAGCTACTTAAAAATTACACAACATGGGAAAAAGACATTTCACCTCAAATGAAGCCCTAACTCAAAATAGCTGGTTTTGCTGTTGCTAAATAAGCCACATCCCTTGACATTACACTGCACCTCTTCATTTCTTCTGTTGAATAAGATAAATTAAATAGCAGCAAAAAATGTAATATGTTGGTCTAAAATCCAATACTGATCTGCTCAGATTGAAACAGGTGCACTTTGCATAAACATTATTTAAACATCTAGACAAAAATAATGGTATAGAAGGTAGAAGATAAGTGACAACCCAGACTGTCATCTCCCAGCTGATATACTGGGGAATTCTAATAACAAAGATGTTCTCTGTAGTTGACCTCAAAGCCCACAGACTGATGCTACCAAAACTAGAATGCTCAGGCATCGTTGGAAAGGAAATATCCAGATATTTTACAGAACATGACTATATAAATTGTTAATATATGGCTAATGGTAGCCTAAAGACATTTAAAAACATATAAACAACATTAAAGACATATCACGTCTTCGTGGTCTGAATAGGTTTTGGACAGCCTGCAGGGAGATAAAGGAGAGCCATTAGGTTCTTGACACCAAACGAAAGCAAATCCAACCTCCCCAGCAGAAAAATTAAACAGGACTAGTTAGAAAATTTTGCAGATCAAAACCATGCCTCTTTTGGAATATAAATATCAAAGACCAGTAAGAAAAAATAATTTCAGACAGACTGAAAATCCATGGAAATTTGGAAATTTGAAAAGTGAGGACACTAAGAACTGACTTGCCCATTAGACTGTGAAGGTATCTGTCTTAGAAAGGCAGTGACAGTCCACAGGGAAGAAGGAAATCCTCCAACTGCCTAGTTTTGCAGAAATCACCCAGAGACCTCCATTAGGACCCTTTCTTACCCACGTTTCCTTTACAGTCAATGGACATTGACACAAAACTGCAGCCTGAATTGTCCTCTAGAGGCATCTCTTTCTCTACTGCCTGCAGCGGGACTTTGACAGGCGGGGATCTTCCATCTGGGGACTCATTCAGGAGTTTGGGTTTAAACACAACGACTGACAGCCTATTGTTTCCCTGTCGCTTTTCACTATGGATGGCAACTACTGGCATGAGACCCCTGGTAGCAAAGACAAAGCAATGCCATAGATTAAGTCTCCTTATTTTGACTTGATGAATTAGAACTTTATTTTACTGATCATGGATACCTGAAAAAGTTAAAATATTCTTGGGTTGGATGAAATATAAATAAAAATACTGATTCTCTGAATAAAATTTGTAATCAAATAGAAATGTTGGACTATATGTACTTCTGTTCAAAGAAAAAAGAATGTAATCCTTAAAATTACAGACTACAGAACTTTATTTTAGTAGCCTGGCATAGTCTGAATTGTTACTAAGATAATAGATACCATCCTTAAATATAAATTTAAATGTAAAAAGATACATTTGATTGTAGAAAGCAAAAATAAATTTGACATGACAGAAGCAAACCACAAAATCTGTGTAAAGAGAAAACACGTTCAGGCATAAATTGCATCATTTTGGTGTTTTGAAGAGTTCTTGGTAAACAATTTCCACTGTCACAAAAGATCTTGCAGTATCACACTGAGACTGCTGTTAACATTTAAAAATGTTAGTCTTCCACAACATTTAGTGCTTAGCCCAGTGTTGCTTAGTATTTTCATTGAAGATAAAAGGGCATAATGAGAAGTGCATAATAAGATACAATACTAGAAGTAAAAGCCAGATGATTTTTAACTTTGAATAAAACACAATTGTTAAAACAAATAGCTGATGGCTTTCTAGAAGCAATGCTTAAATCAAAGACATTAATGTGGTCAGTACAGAAACAACAGATGGCATAATTTTTGGTCTGGTCTTAAAATGCAGGAGTTTACAAATACAGGTCTATACTACTGGAGGACCATGTATAAATGCACTCAGATTAAGAATGTGTCTTAACTCTTCTAATGAAATTCAGTGGGATTTAAACATGTTTAATCATAACTTGTATGAGGCTGTTTTCCTGAATTAAACAAAAAAAGAACAGTATCTGATACAGGAGATACTTCGGTTGCTTACTGAGAACCAGTTAAGAAAAATCATCTTCCTAAATCAGTTTACGCTTATGAGGATGACTTGCATCTTGTCTGAATCACTGCCTCCTGGGTCATTGTTTGACACAAAACAAAAGGCTAAAGAAATTTTTCATTTTGATTTACAAAAAAAGAAGTGTGAAACTTTTAAAGACTCACAATGGAAAACATTTCAAATGTACATATTTGGACTAAAATCATGTTTCTATTTAAGCCAGTATGTCCTTGCACTTAATTTCTAGTCTTTTTTTTACATAATTAATCTCACAAAATTATTTGGCATAACAGTAACAGTATGTTTATATTCAAGGGAAGAGAGGTTTATTGTTTCAGTGTTTTGGTTCAGAACTGAGATACAATGTCAGTAAGAGTAATCATGGAAGCGTACACTGAGTACTTAAAAAAAAAAAGAAGTCTTTTTTTGTACTAGAGAGCCTGAAAAAAGCACCAAAAGTTTCTTGTTTGGAAAATCTGAAGCTTGGATGCTCTTTGCTCAAGTAAAGAGCCGCAGTAAATCTGCAGTAAATCCTCACCATCTCTGACAAGACAAAGAAAGGTAGAAAGTGAAGGAAACCAGAAGAAAAACTTGTGTACCTCAGTGGAATACCTTCTTTTTCCCACCATCAACTAGTAATTCTGTTGTATGATTCGTTAACTGGAATCTAAAGGTAATCTGGTATTGTTATTATAAAAAGCAATAATGCTCTGCTTTATAAGAAATAAATACTAGCTTTACTCAAGAAATCTAAGAAGTAGCTTTTTGTAACTAAGAAGTTTTTCTATTCTTCATATGGAAAAGTATTTTGACTTGAACAAAACAGGAAGGATAACAAAAACAGATGTGTTTTTTAACCAAGCTGAAACAGCTGAACATATGGGTCACTTATTAAACATACATAAAGTGCAATGAACACTATTCTGTATTCTAAATTTTAACTTAGGATAATTTTAATTATAAAATAATCAGAAGTATTTTAAATGTGGTGAATAGTTTATTTTTTTTTAATAATAATAAATTAAAAAGAAATAAAACCCCCAGAATGTATCTAACTTAAAGTAAATGCTGGTCCTGGATGTACGTTGTGTATGCCCCCCACTTCAGACTAATGGTGAGTCCCTAGTGCCACAGAATGAAAGAAATTTTTTAAATTAATTGCTTACATGTGGATTCCCACAGAAAACATCACACCCATTCATCCACGTAAGAAAGCAGTTCAAGCCATGCATACTTTGTTTTTTTTCATTAACCTTTGCACAGACATCAAGAGTTCAGAAGGGGATACAGATAGGCAATTTTTTAAAGAACATTAGTTATTTACCCTTTCTTTTGCTTGGCCGTTGTCTAACTACTGCATCCAGTAGTACTCTGGTAGTAACATTCTTGAATGAAAATACAAGCTAGGCTGTTGAATGACTGAATAAAGACTTTCCAAAGATAACATCTGCTCTAGAAGGCTCAGTGATAACATAACATTTAGAGAATCAACACATAATTTCTCAGAACAGCTTTACAATTTTTCCAAATTGATATAATTAATGTATTTGTGAAACTGTCTGTCAAGCTTCATGAACCATGGCAAAGTGAACTTATCCTGAACTGGTAGAATATGATTTATTTGCTTATGATAAAGCATTTGAAGAGTGATACTTGATTTTGTCTCAATGCTTCTGGCATATGTCAGGGTTATTTTGAAGAGATTCTGGGAGACTTTGCATTAAAATTACAATGTGTCAACCATATCTAGAGTTTTATAAGCTATTATCATCTATTTGGGAATGGCAAAGCTGGTAAATATTGTTTAAAAAAAATCTGAACAACCTAAAAAAAACCCCTGGTAAAAATTAGAGTAAGACCTGAATGAGATGATATCAGGAGGGAATTTTACAACATTTCATTGAAATCTAAAGTATTTATTTCTCCTAGTCTCACACAGATAACTGACATTTTGAACCAAGTATTCCAAGGAAGAATTTTCTTAGACAGTGATTTATTATTTAAAGAGTTATTCACTGGACAAGACAATACAATAGTCAGTTTAAAAGCTAAATTGTGCAGTATCTTTGAATAGTAAATCTCCATCTACCTTTTTCATTTTTAATGATACCTGAGGTTGTTCTCGTAGTAAAGTCACTAGTTAGAATCCTTCCCAAGTATTTACTGTAACTGTACCAGGTTGAAGGGACATCCTTCATCAGTTTACCCTTTACCTACTGCCTTAAATTCTGAGCTGTATCACCAAAGGACTCTCTCTCATCAGAGACAATTACATCTTACCAAAAGAGTTGAATGGACACTAGTGGAAGAGTATGACCTCTCAGAAATACAATCCACTGGTTCTTTATTCATGCATATCTTCTGACAGAATATTGAATAGCCTAATCAGCAGGAGTAAACTCAAGAGAATCAGCAGTAGAAAAGATGAAGAACTCCGATCTGGATACCTTTCATCAGCAAACCTACAAGATACTGGTATTGAAAGCTAGGTTCTTACTAGGCAAATTATAAGATTCTAGTAATTGTCAACTGATGGTACCATTACTCTCTCTAAAAAGAGGAAGTTTTTTCCAGTTAGTAATTTGTTTGTCAGCAATTTCTAGATAATCAGAGTGCCACACAGAAATTCCCAAAATTCCCAAAAATACTTTTTCAGCCAGGGCATGTCATTTGAGTTTTGTCAAAAGAAAATGATAATAACACTGTCAAGGAGATCTCAATAAAGAGAGGTCATTGTCCTCTTAAGTATTTTGTTGTTGATGCTACTGCAAATCATTCTGCAAATCTGTGTGATCCAAAAGATTCTCTTGGGGAAGGATCTTCTAACCATGTTACAGATGCAGTGAAGTCTGATGGGATGATGGCTAAAGAGGGGCCATGCAAAAAATCTGTACGTGAGATGGAAGCCAACATACAGGCTACCAAGCAACATGGGATTCTCAGTGTCCTGTGCTTCATGCAGCTAACTAAACCCTGTTTCTGGAGAAAAATAGTTTCTTTCTGAAGAAAAACAAATCACCCCACTGTCCTAACTTTTGAAGAAGATGGCAATGAACAAGAATATTTATCCACAAAAGGAAGAAAACAGGAAAACAGTTATCTACACCATGCAATGCTCAAATCTATGCTATGTTTTGAATGTGTCCATTCAATATAAAATACAGAATGATTGCTCACTTAACAAGGGTTGCGCTCCAGATTTAAGTTTGTAACATCTTAACAAAAACTGAACAACAGTCAAATATCTTCTTAAAATAAGATGAACAGACACTAAATAAAGCGCACATTAATACACCCAAATCCACCTGTATACAGACCTTCACAGCAATCTTGCCACATCCTGAGGTCCAGTTTAGGAATATCTTCGCAGCTACTATATCCATGTGGGAATTCAGCCACCTTAAACACATCATGTTGTACCCTGGTTATGTTGTCGCCATTGTCACACAAAACTCTGGCAAGAGATGTCTGCTTGATCTGAGTGAGCTGAGCAGGCGTGAACACACCCGGGTTCTCATACCATAACCTGTAATCTCACAGAAAAGACAAATTTGCTAGTGAAAAAACAAACCACACAGTTTTCCAGAGATATTACAGTAATGTATTCAGAATGAAATTAATTATTCCATAAATCCTGTTCTCAACTTTACATCGTATCTGAGGGAGTGATCCAGAGGCCAAAATGTAAGCGCTTGGTGTCACTTCAGCCCTACTTGGTGTCATGCTGACACTCTGAAAGGACCAAAGTCTTCAACAAATCCTTTGATTTCTCTTCTAGTCCCATTTCGATGTCTTGGGTATCTTTGGACATCTAAAATGGCACTAGACTACCAAGTTTAGGGTTCTTTTAAGGCAGAAGCTTAAATTACCATAGATATATTTCTCCAGGCAACTTTCCTATGGGTATGAAAAAATTTTGATAGAATTGCTGAGATTAGAAGAATGGTTAATCTATACCTAGGTTATTATCAAGATAAGTGAGAATGTTTAATTTACTAAGGAATTTTTTTCTGTAAAACTATTTTAATGACTATACTAATTCAGGGACTTATTAATATATGCTCAGTTAATTAATTATATTCAAGGAGGAAACACTGTGGTTTCAAATATATTTTTTTTTCATACATAAAGGGCTAAAAGCCTGTTATCAATAAAAAATAAAAATAATACATTACTACGAAAAGCAAGCCAGTCCTTGGAAAAGAAAACGTTTTAAGTTACTGTCCTGGATTTGAAAACATTTTACACTATTCTAACACATAAGAATTGCTCACTGTGATATTGTTTACATCTCACAGAACTGTAAAGTTATAATTCTATATTGATAAGTTTTTCCCCCATTTCAAGCAAAATAAGTAGAAGGCTCTTTAAACTTTATGAAAAATCAATAACAATTTTATACTAAACTTAGAAGAATGGTCAACAAATTTCATTTTACCTACTTATTGTATCATTTTCATAAGGCATTGGACAGCGGCCAATGAATTTCCAAGTACAGGGATCAGAAAAACAGATTCTGAAATTTCCATTTTGACATGAAGTTAGGCTCCCTTCAAACATCACTCCTTTTCCCTGCACAGGCACATTTGTTTTGCATGGTGCTGGTAACTTTGATCCTCTGCCCATCGTAAAGGCTTTTCAAACAAGTGAGAGTTGCTTTCATTATGTCTAATAATATTTTACTATTTGCTGGCATGTTGCTTCAAAACATTTGTATTCTTTGGACAGCAGAATCCCATTTCCTAAATATTCAATGTTTTCCTATAGTTTCTGAATGTTGTTTCAGAAAAAAAAGGGGAAGAAAAAAAAAAAAGCTTTTGCTGGAAAAATGCAAACAGACACACACAAAAAAGCAGTATCATTATCCTGTTGTGACACAAATAGGTACTTGTCACCAGCAATCTGGAGCTCATACTGCATATATTTCTCTTTTACTCCTTCTGCCTGCAGGCATGAGAGTTTTATGTTTCACAGCTTAATTTTTAAACAGATTTCATGAAAGAAAGTTGTTTTTAAAAAAAGCATACAAAAAGGGTTGTGTTAGTGACTACAGAAATAAAAAAGCCTTTATATTATCTTGGTAGCAATTTTATAACTTACATAAAGCAAATAACATTAGATAAAGTGAATCAAATCTAATTTCCGAATTCTTCCCATTTCCCTTGCACTAGGATGGGACTAATCAGCATAAGTCTTTCTACCCTCATGCCATACAAAAACCAGGATTCCAGCTCATAAATTATGTTAAAATGAGGGAAATGTTAATCTTCAGATTCTGAACGAGTGTGCTGTAAGTATGCAAAAGAGATCTGGCTGCTGTAACAACAGCAATGACTATTTTCTTACTTCAAGTACTGTAGAAACTGAAAATGAGAAATTGCTCATAATGTGCATGTAAAGTAATTTAAGAACAATTATCAAATTGTGTTCTTTGTGATAACCTGTCTGCTTTTAAGACTCTCTTGGTGCACAGACTTCTTGTATTGAAATATGTATAGGGGTTATATACACCGAGTGATACTTTTCCAACCTGTGCTTAAGTAACGGAGATGGTGAAAGTGTCTCAACCACCACAATTCCATTGCCAATAAAATAATTAAATAACAATGAAAAGACATGAGTAACACCCAGTTTTCAGAAAGGTAAGTGACTTGAATAACCGGTAAAAGGAAACTCAGCATATATTTGCTGTGGTGCTTTTTGGAGGTCAGTATGACATACTCACCATGAAAAGTACAGATTTAAAAAATAAATTAATCATAGCTTCTAACAATGTTTTAAACCTGTATTCTTCATCTTTTCGATTATATATTAAAATCATAAATGAAAATAAAATGCAGTTTGATTTGGAAACAAGACGTTGCAACTGTTATTAAGCATCCTCAAGTCAAAACTAATTTTGGTTTCCATGGTATTTCGATTTACCTGTCTCCATCCCGAATACGCCTAAACTGTGTGCTTAACAGACACAGCAAAGTTGGCCCCAGTCGGCTCCCTGGAACTAAGTCTTCTACCATTAGAGCAGGAAATAGGTCTATGTTCAGTGGGGAACCGTACAACCTATAAATAGAAAAACAAAAATATTTAATACCAAATATTTTACAGTTACAAAATAACCAGTACGTGGTAAAACTAAGGGCAAGAGATATGAACAACTCACAGTAAAAATGACAGTGATAGTGCTACATCTTTTGTGAACAACCTGTGTGTGTATATGCAAGAAATCCTGCAATGTAGCTTGTATATGTGAGTAACATCACAGGGGTCTGCAAGTCTACTCCACAATTTCCTTTCTCCTAGTAGCTTTCTTCTGATTTCTTGGAACAGTTTCTTTTTCAATAGCTCCTCTTTCCTGCCTCTCTGTACACTTTTTCTTTTACCGTAGCTGAGACATTCTGTCTCTGATTTTGTGTGGACAAGCTAGGGGTGGCAGGTAGCTGAAGACTTATTTTCAAACTCTGAAGCTCTAAAGAAGAGCAGTTTACTGGTAGTGAAGGATGTCCACATGAAAATACAGTGAACGATATTCCTGTTTGGTTTAGTGTAGGGAATGGGTGGAACTGAACATGTAAATACTTGCATAAGACTGGCATTAAATATGACCTTACATCGAAATAACATTCATATTTAAAAGCATTTCTAAAATCAGACATTTCAAATTGATAATTTCATGAACACATACAGTATATATTAACTTCTTATTGTTCACAGACATGTAGAAGTGGAGAAATTACCTGCATGTGGGAATTTTCTACACCTATTTCCTGGTATGGACGGAAGTTTCTTAAAAAATCGCTTTACCCCTTTCTTAACAATTATTTTCTTCTAGATAAGACATTTAGCTACTAATTTTGCATGCACATTTAGATAATTGATTGTTTTTCTTCACCTCAGGCTCACCTGCTAAGTTTCTCCCTGATTTCAGGATTCTTAATTTCATTTTTCAGATCTTCAAAAGTCTGAGCTGAAGAAAGATTACAGTAAACTCTAAAATCATGGTAGGGAGGAATTCCATGATCTCTGCCTCTCTGAATATTCATAGCTGCCAGATCTAAAGCCACAGTACGTGCCATGGAGAAGAGTCTTTCTGTTAATTCTGTATTGAGTAATTGTGATGGGACACGCATCTTACCAGCAACACCAAACAATCCCCTTAGAAGTGGATCAATGCCTCCTTCATTTACAATCCGAAATGGAGAGAAGAATGCCTTATGAAGCGGTAGATGGCCTTGTGGAATAGGTTCAAAGTTTTCATCCAGTCGATACAGAAAAGGATTAATGAGTGTGTGACCAAACCTAAAAGCGGCAGTTGCAAACTCATTAGTTATGCCAGAATTAACACTGGGATCATAACCCTTATATTCGCCAAGCATCTTCATGCCTACCTCTCCAAAGATCTTAGGTAGCCAGTGGCTAAATGTTATGTGTTGCATTTCTGCACCAACAATTTTGCGTGTTTCGTGATATATTGTGTCACCATCCCAGTGTGGATTGAGTTTCAGTAGCTCTGTGGCAATTCTGTTGTGTTCTCTAAACCACAACGTGTGGATGCTGGTAAGACCCAGCTGCTCATTAGAACGCTGATCACCAGCTAAAAAGCAGGGAATTGGGCTCTCATTTTCATCTCTCATACATTCTGTTGGTGGGCCAGTAGCAAATGGAAGGAGGGGCTTGCCAGATCTCTGTACGATGCCCTGCCTCAGAAGACCCCTCTGACTTGCCAAGTCTCTGATTTCTAGTGCTTCATGGTCCGAACTGCCATACACATTGGACGCATCGATGTATGAAGTCAGCTGGTTGATCTGTTCTCGTGGGTACACAGAATTCATCAGGAGGGATGTCATGCCGCTTCCACAAACCGGACTGGAGCGTACGAAAAACATGCAGCGTGCACCGTTTCGAACTCTGGGATCATTTGGTGGTATCATGATCGAAAAGCATGGAGGATCATTTGTACAAACTGAACTGCAATGCTGACCATCTGAAAACCTGGCCTCACTTAGGGCAGCCACAGTGAGGTCAAGGTCGTGGTCGAGAAACTGCCCCCACTGCATGAGCATGTGAGTATACTGGTCATCGGGAGTTATTGTTTCCGTTCCGATCAAAGTGGTCGAAACCAAGCGAGGCATTGGGAGTGCATAGCCGTTAGAGAGCCTCTTGGGTTCAATTCCCCGAGGCAAATTAAATCCATTTTCGTAGACTGACTTCAACAGACGTTCAAAGGCTGTCAGAGAAGCACCCCACATGGGATGCTGAAGGTTGTTGCACGTTCCATCGTGTGTCCTGTACTTCTGGTGGAAGCACATATCTGAGCAGTTGTTCACTCGTCGATGGGCTGTACAGCCTGAGAGATTAGCTATCAGATTCAGGTACTGTGGGGATACAAGGTCATTATAGTGATAACCTGAAACCAGAAGAGAGACAGAGGGAAAATCAAAGACTTCATAGACTCATGGTGCCCACAGATCCATGAATTTATTTGATATGTTATTTTATTATATTGCATTTCCCATCAGATTAAATACCCCCATTCTTTAAAAAGAACAATAGTAATCACATATGTATATTAGAGCAACAACCACTATTAGGTCAGGAGGGAACTTCATAAAATGCCAACTCATGTACAACTTTTACAAAATGTTCACAAAAAGAGCTCATTACTTATTTGGTCACTTAAGAAAGCAGAGGTATTTTCAGAAATAAAAGCCTCATATTGAGACAAATGGGAAATTTTCCCCATGTTAGTAAAAGCATTTTAAAAACTGTCAGTAACATTTACTTGGACTTCAAGACTTTATCTTTTGAGACTTGATAATTCACTGAACATTACTATTTTGTTTTGCTTTATTACTGCGGAAGTTCCAGAATTTTAATAAAAAAAATTCAACAAGAACCACAAAAGAACATAACCACAGGCAATACAGCTAAACAGAGGAGTGATCTCTAGGACAAGTGGTGTGGAGTAACTCACATTCACATTACCCGGGACTAGTTTCTAAAGAAAACTGCTGTGTGCATATCACTTGGCACAGGTTTCCTCTGCAATCCACACCATTCACTTCTGGGACTACAACATACTTACTACTTTCCTGCATTTTTTCTCAGTTCATAGAAAAATAATATATACAAAATATATACCATAATTCATTAGACTTATGTTTCTATAACTTCAAACTAAGGCTATGTGTTGCATGATCTCTGCTGTGGTATGATGGCATGTGGAAGGATTGAAGACTGTAAGGACTCCTAGTACAGTGTTGGATGACTGCAAATAGCAGAACAGTCAGGCTGTGCTTTGTCCATGCTGCCTATTAGGAGTCATTCTAAAAGTGATTTTTTTCTTAGAAACATTTGGGCCTAATTTCAGGGAAAAAAAGTCATTAATTTGGGCTATATCTACATTATCAACTTGTGTAGACCAAGAGAAATATGTGTGTAGAATGAAATTTTGGATGCTGAGAAAGACATCCCTACTGTATCCATTATGCAACAGGAGCAGGCTTCCTTCAGAAAAGCTTTACTTTGTTCTCCTGGACTGAATGTGGCCCTGGACCACATTTTTCACTTAATTTGAAAAGACTCCACACGGTTCAAGACCATACCACAACTCACACCAAAGCACAGCAAGTGGGGACAGCTGGGAGATTCACTTCAAATGGGCCCTGCTGATCCAAAGCGCAGGCACACCTTGAGTGATTAATGGATATACAGAGTGGATGGCAATATTTGGCAGTGTAGACATACTTTTAGCCAACTAGAAACCATCATACACCACCATGGTTCTTCATCTGGAAAGCTTGCACTCAGGAGCAAAACTGAACAAGCAGAATAAAGGCAGAAGGAAAAAAGGAAATGAGTGAGTGTACAGTGGTACTGTGTTCCCACAGGCTCAAGGGGTTCCGACCATGATGGTAATCACTCAAGATTGAGGGAACGCAGTTTTGCAAGAGGTTGGTGCAGGCTAATTGCACACAGTCGGGAAATGTTCCTTTTAGTCCGGAGCTCGGTCCCAGCATGCCTGCAAAGACACTGACCTTCATCTACATTCAACACATCAATGTGTGCTAGACACATTGGCTCTCTGCCAATTTCTACAATGCAGGGCAATTTCAAACAAACTACCTAAAGCCCCTCTTTGTCTTCGCCTTGAAAGGGACTGGATTGCTCGTAGCTGCTCAGCTGGGACAGGACCTGTGTTCAGTCAGGGGGTCTATGTTTTCTCAGCCTCAGGCTACATGTACTTTGAGTGGTTTACAAGTCAAAGCAAAGATACTAGAGACCTAGTGCTTCCATTAGGCAAAACTAACCTGTTTTTGTAGACATACTTAAATTATTTTACAGAATACTCCAGACTAGGAAAAAGAAAAACAAACCACAGAGCAAAACCAGTAAGTGCCACTGGCTAATGCAGCCAAGTAAACTCTTTGAGAATATTACTGATAACATATTATAGTATGCTGGCTACTAGGGCAGTTTAATTCTAAAACTACACCCAGAAAACATATCTTCTTTATAATAACAATCCTTTTCAAATGATCTTCATTCATCATGGAGTTCTTTCCTTACGATCATTATTCATGCAGTCTTTACATAAACATTTGTCTGCTGTTGTTATCCTGGTTGCCACCCACACTTCTGAAATCAAGTTGTGAGCAAAACTCAACTATGAATGTTTTGGGTGGAATGACCTTCATTACCAACTTAAAAGGTTCAGCTTCTCTGTTTAAAAGTTCAAGTGGGAGGCAATGTGTCATCTATGGATTAGATTCCATGGCCTTCTGAGCAGAGTGGAGGTTGCCATAAATGCCATTCTCAGACCCTTAATTACCCCTCGCATTGTAGGCACTAACTCTGGCTCTGCTTTCTAAAAGGCTGGGCGCTGAGCATTCCCAGTGCTTAGAAGCTAACTAGCTCAATTCACATACTATTAGCTATACTTTTTTCCAAACTGCAAAGAAGATGTTTCATAGTCATAGAAATATTGATTAGAAGGGACCTTTTACCCAGACCAAGCTCCTGCTTGAAGCAAGGCTGTCTCCAACACTGGATCAGCTCAGCTGTATCCCTGTCTAGTCAGCTTGAAAACCTCCAGAGACTGAGAATCTTCTGCCTTTCTGGATAAATTGTTCCAGCACTGCACTGGCCTCCTTGTGAGAAAGTGTTTCCTAACATCCAATCTGAACCTCCCAAGCAGCAATTTGTGGCCATTCCCCTTGTTATACAGTCTGGCACTGCAGAGAGAATTTGGCTCCATAGTCTTTCCTTGGGATATTCCAAGATTTTACATAAAAAATGTCTCTGAATGGGAAATTGTCAAGTTTCTCAACTGTTCCCAATGCAAAAGTGCTAAATAGCACCTTCCATTGGGCTCTGCATTTTGAAATAAAACCAAATAAGGACAAATCTGAGTATTAAAATCTGAGCATTAGGCTATTTAAATGAAAACAGATTTCTTTTACTATCCAAGTTTCCCTAAAAGCCAGCTTTCTATGGATTTTGTAGGGCTGAGAAGCAAGCTCTGGTTGTGAACAGGATTTCCAGTATCACAGAAAGTTGCCTGATTTTGTGTTCATTAATTTGTATTTGTATGCTTTAATGCCAATTTTTGGTAAACTTTAGATGATTGAATTTCACTATTACAAATCCTAGTAAAAAGTAGTCAAGCAATTCTCACACATCAGATTTCATAAATTCCTAGTATTATATTTGATATGCTTGCATATGCATCTAATCAGAGAACTGAATTAAATCGCGTTGCTCTTATAAAACACAAGCCTTCAAAAAAATTTGAGTAAGTTTTTGTGGTAAACTATTCATCGCAAATTATTTACACAGCTCTGATAACGAGTAACAGGATTCTTTTACTAGCAAATGTTACAGTAATCTACAAAGCTTGCAGTCTTTGGCCTTATAAATACTTGCCTAGTTCACAGTCAGAGTTAAGGTTTTCGGAAGTTACAATAAATACTCAATTATAAACATCAAAAAGAATATAATAAGTAAAAATATTTCCTCTAGATCTTCAGTGTAGCTTTTGGCTATGTCTGAAGTCTCAAAAGCTCTCCTAAAATTCTATCATTATTTCCAAATGCTTCAGTCCTATGTCTCAAGCCTATCCACACACAGATCTACACGCACTAGTTGTATATGCTCCAGCTGGACTTCATGAATTAGAACTTGGACTTCAATAACTAAAAGGCAGAAATATTAAACCTTGCATTTTTCTGCTATTTGTAAAAAGCAGCAAAAACTGTATTTCTCATTACATCAGATCAGTGTTAAAGGAAACAATTAGCTTAGTTTGACATGCACTTAAAGAATGCGTGGCAAATAATTCTTTGAATATTTTTGTGGTACATACAGAAACCCTGGTTTGTAAAGTATACAAATCTTTCTTGTTATATCATCTTTTTTCCTTGCCAAGGCATGCCAACACTAAACGGTTTTATTTAAAGAAACATGAACAAAATACTGATTATTTTTAATACATAACAGAAAAGTCTGTTCTGCTATGAAACAATGGTCCTAATGAATTAACACACAGGGAGCTAACAAATGGGATGCATTATGCACTTCTGTTATACCAAATTTGATCAGTAGAAGAATCTGAACATGAATTTTTCCTTAATATGTCAATGTGAGGAAAAATAAAAACACTCTACTTGGAGAGCTCAAGCAAACTGAGTTACACCATAATGTAGCAAAGTGCAAACCAAGGACTGAATTGGGCAAACACATATATTTGGTAAAGTTTTGCAAAGTTAGATATTCCACTGATTTCAATGTAACGGTTCTGCAATTGGGACCCAGACTCAGAAAATAAATGTCTCTTGAAGTATAATGACTTAAGAAGGCAAATACACTTCAACACAGAAAAATAAGGAAAGAGTGAGTACTGACTTGTTCCATTCAGGTCAACCATTAGACCATCTTGTACATGATCTTGAATAAGCTGTAATGTCCTTTCAAATATTTCCCCAGCTCTTGCTTGCTCAACAGTGTATGGATCCCTTGGGTATCGAAATAAGGCTAGCAAATCATTTGGAGAACGAGGACGACTGATAGATAATTTGAAAAAAATAGTTAAGTGTATACAGGAGTTACAAAATAACAAAACTACATAAATCATGTAAATGTTCAGCAACATGATTAGTACATACCTTGGTTACTCATCTCAAAATGGAAGGCAAACAAAAAAAATAATAAAACATAAAACATTTAGTAGCAATTAAACATTTAATAGCCTTTTAATACACATTATCTCAGCAGAAAAACTGCTGTAGTGAATAGAGATCTCAACATGAGTCTTTAAGCAACAGGGATCCTTACATGTTAAACTGTTAGTACTCCCAGAACTAACCAGATGTTAACAATGTCATTTAAATAATAAAATGACTTCTTGCTTAATAAATCTTCCATCATTCCCAGTGTATGCAAAATTAATTTTGACTTCTCAGTATAAAAAAAGGGGGATACCTGTCAAACAGATGTGTACGTGTTGAATTTATTGCTCTGTCAACAGTTGCAATTGCTTCCACAATTGATGTTTGTACAAAAGGATCTCCATTTCGGCTGACATTAGGGACTACAGAAAGAGGAATTCACATGTTATTGCAAAAATGGCCACACACAAAAAGATACTTCTATAAAACAAAGTCTAGACACGACATCATTTCAGTTCTACAAAGTAAACCCCTGTTCTTTAAGCATTAGTTTGTCCAAATATAAAATTCTTAACCATTTTGAAGTTCTATCAAAGCATATTACAGTAGAGGAAAATACATTTAAAGTAGAAGTTATTGTAAGTTTAAAAGTCAGCTTGCTTATAACTCTAAAACAAAATAAAGTGAAGATAAATGCATACAGTGTTTAACTGTCCATTAATTAGTCCTACAATTTCAAGTAAAAATTACCAAAGAAAAAATGAATTATTATTAAGCGTTTTTTTCCTGGTGTGGTGTATTATCAGCTTTTAGGTGTTGATATCAAGAGCCTGGCCTATACCCACTGAAATCAATGCAAGTATTCCCTTTGACTGCAATTAGTACTGAATTCAGTGTAAGAATTTAAAGGGTTTACAGGAATGTGTTACAAGTGAAAAATACTGCCGGACTTAGTTTGACTTTTAGAACACATAAATTCAAAGAGAATTCACACAAAAATGAATAAACACACACAAAGAAAAACCCAACCAAAAAACCCACAGAATTCTATATATTCCCAAATAGCTACAATAAATTAACATTGCTCCTCTTCTGAGCTTAGTCTAGTAAGCAACACACGTTAATTTTAAAGGGCTATAAATGTTTTATTTATTTTGATCACTACTTTGTTTTCTACTTTAAAATTATCTAGCTTTTTAATACTACATTAAAAATCACATGCTTGAAAGTTATTTAACGACTCTGTATAATACTGGAAACTCACTAATGCATAGGCCCATTCATCTGCCTTTTTATATGGTACTCAGTTGCAGCTGGATGTTTGTACAACATATCTAAGGCTAATAACCTTCCTTTCAGTCTAAACCAAGAACTACTAGATCCAGGGGCAACAGCTAACAATTTCCAGAGTGTGTTTAGATTGGAAAAGTCACACAGGAAGAAGGGTAAAGTAGGGAAAAAGTCCAAACCAAATACACTGGAATAAAATCAGCAGATGTACAAAATCAGCTGACATAAAAACTGTTGTTTGCAAGCTTTTCATGACTTTTTCTTTTCTTTTCTAGGCAATATTTCATTATTCCTTCATAACTGCCAGCTTAGGCTGTGTCTATGTGGGTTGCAGAGTCTAGACCTGGGTAATCAAACGTAACCATCTAGACCGTCAAATAAAGCAATCCCTGGCACTCTACAGCTGTAGCTGAAGCCCCTTTCTCTGCCCTGAGGCCCGCTGCCTTGGGCTGCTGACAACATACTCCCAGCATCCAAAATGAGCTGATCCTTTCCTCAGTGCCCAACAGCGATGGTCCCTGACCTGTCCTAATTACCAGCTGTCCTCCTTGCTTGACAGCTTCATTTTCATAGTAACCATACAGAAACATCATCAAATAAGCTAATTATTTTAAGAAGAACTATCATCTACAGGTTTGCTATCCCCATTTTAGTTGTTTCAGAGAGTGCTTGTGTGCTGTGAACCATCCTAACACTGCAACATTGCAGACTGTAAAAATCCAGTTGCTGGTTACCTTCCCTAGTGCTGTCTATGACGGATGTCATCTCGGTGTTCACTTTAGATATGTGTCTTGCAGAGCTATCTTTCTGATTAATGGTACATGTGGGCTGAATCATAAATCTTGGTCAGATGTTAACTAGGCTGTACTTTATTTTTGTTTAGACTATTTGCTGCCAGTAGATCTCTTTTTAGACTGATAAATATTAAAGCTCCATGCAAGCCTTTTGCACAATACCTTTTTTGGGGCGAGGGAAGGGGGGGGGGGAATGGCAATTTTTTTAAGCAACGAAAACGTAATCCACACACATCCTGCCTTACACTTAAGCCAGAGACTTTTACAAAACAACAGAAAAGGACAGAAGAAAATGACAAAAGAAAAGCTTCTTTAAAATATTATCAAACATGGACAGCAAAACCTGCCCCCCCCCAGGCTTCTACACATTTGCCTTTATTCTGTCTCAACGTTAAGAAAAGATTTTTATGCATCAGGAACATGCATAAAACATTAACTTTGTTTGAAAGAAATGCTGACATGCAAGTGTTTAGGCATTTCTGGCTATGGCATTATTAATACTATCCAGATAGCAAGTATCCAGTACTTTTAATCTGTCCACTTGTCTTCCTTGCTTCTCTGACAGCTTCATTTATGTAGGAACCATAGAGAAACAGTATCTGATATCCCACTAGTTTTAAGGAGAAACATCATTTACAGTTTCAGACTGAATGCAGATTAATCAAGGGTAGTTTCACTAATTTTAGGTTTATTGATTATAAGAAAAATAACCACGTTACAATTAAATACTGCAGATCAGCTAGCACCAAGTTTTGTAGTTTGCTAATTTCAGCAGATGAGAATGAGCAGTTGACACCTGCACTAAGTGAATTAAACTGATTTCCACTGGCGTTATAGTTCAATTCATGGTTTCATTTTTCAGAGCTCTTATTGATTTTTTTTTAATTTATTTAAAAAAAACACAAAAAACTTATTTTTCTATGCATCTCCAGAGTAACCAAGATTAACTGTTTTTTATGGACTTTCACTTGCAGATTTCATATATGTGGATGAAACCTTATCATTGAGTGATTCCCAGTCCTGCAATTTTTCTCTCAGAAATCATAATTACGGATTGAAGAAATACTATTTTTGATAAAGGAGGGGATAGACTAATAGTCTACTAAAAGCAACTTAAGCCAGGGAACATCATAGTTTTATTGATACTATGTGACTGATATCATGGAAATCAATACATTAGAAAAATCACTGATATATATTCATGAATTTAGTAAACAAAATACTGAGCATCAGACATAACACTGGGAAACAATATCCAATATGTTAAAGAAATCACTGCTCAATACTCATTTTTCAATGATACAAAAATATTGTGTCATATTTTCTACTGAAAGACAAAAAACCCACACAGTTTCCTTAATATTTTCTATCAAAATTAGTCTGAAAAATGAGCAGGTTTACTCAATAAGTCAGAAAAGCATTAGGGTCAATCTGTGTAACAGTTATTTCCACAGCCTCTTTGGCTGCTTTCTTACCAATTATTATGTATTAATAATCGATAACTATTATTTGCCATTATTACTTTCAAATAATTAGAATAAGCTCAAATATTCTCCTTTTCTTTCTGTTTTCTCTTTTAGCTTCTTAAGATCATTAAGGCTTTCCTGAATTCTTTCACAATGGTTGCAGTCTAATCTTCAACCAACTGCTGTAAGTGCCCCTTTAAAGATGCTACAGGACTTTTTGTCAATTTATCCATAAAGATTAGACTGTGTATTCAACTAGCAAGTTCTAATAGGTCCAAATAATATCTCAAGAGGAAAGCAGTGTGACTAACCAGAGCCCAAAGCACTGTTTATTTTGAAGCTTAAGTCCTAGAGACATTTTAGCTTATATATTCCCATCTTACTCACATCTGTGCAGATAGTTGCCTGAATTAAATGAAGGAAAAAAAAAAAAAAGATGATTATGGGCGAAAAAGAAAAATATGAATAAAAGAAAGAATTTAACATTTGATTAACTTACAAATTAAGCAATTAGAATAAAACTAATAATCGAACTCATACCTCTGATTCATACACCTTACCGTTAACACTAAGCACCATACTAACAGAGGAGTATCCTATGGTATTCCGGGCAACACATTCATATCGACCTTCATCAGCTGTTCCAACATCACGAATGGTAAGAAATCCCTCTGGACTAACATGAAATTTTCCACTTTCAGTTACCTGTACTCCATCCTGCAGCAAAGCACAATGTTTAGTTATTCTAAACACTCTTTGTTTTCAAACCTGAATTTTTGTCTTTTCTTTTTTATTTTTACATTTTATTTTACATTTATATTTTGTATGCCAAGATAATAGTCAACTAGATTTAGATTAACTTATATAAAAAACTCACACAGTTATGTTGACAGTAGGATTTGCATGTATTTCTAAATTGTACAGTGTATTTACATACTTTTAAAAGTACTCATTATTATAAATCAAAGTATTTTAATAGTTATAGGTCCTCACCACATAAAATTTAAGACCCAAAAATAAGATAGCACCTTTTGAGAACATATATATTTGATTTTACTCAAAATTAACCAACTAAAAAGGATCTCAAGAGCTTTATATGTATCAATTCTTCATGTGCTATGCATTTAGAAGCTATTTAAGGTACATTAAAGTACATTTTCTAATTCTCACTAATTGAAGAGAAGATGATATTCATGAAAATTGAAGATCAATATTAGCAACCCATTAATTCACCAGTACCTCTGCTAATAACTCTAAGTAACAGTTTGATATAATAATTATTGCACCAATGGAAATCAAAGCCACCGAGAGGTTACCGAAGAGTTACCGAAACATGTCCTGGTTGAACTGTCAACCTAACAGTGTCAAAGAGCTCAGCAATAGAGTATTTTTTATTGCTTTATATCTATAATATCACTGAAAGTGTGAACATTAATAGGATATTCACACAGAACTGTCACTAACATACATAGGACTTTTAAGGCCTACGTTACGAATTTTAGCTGGTCTGTATAATGATTTGCATAACCACACATATATGTTTTATATATATAAAATTCACGTCTGGTATCTGTATACATGCTCTGTATTAAAGAAGATTTGCTGATCAAACTTTGGGTAATGTGTTCAGACACCAGAGCGAGGAGTAATTTGACCATGTGCTCTTTAAATAGCTAGTTATGAAGAGATGGAAAGGCTACTGCCTTTTTGCAACAACCAAACAAATATCTAGTACCTTATTCCATGTAATTACTGGCTCCGGCTCTCCTTGAGCGCTGCATGGGATCTGCACATTTGCGCCAACCTCCACTGTCATGTCACTGGGAACGCTGGCAAACACAGGAGTCACTAAAAAAACAAATGATACATTGACAAGGTATGAAATACAACTTGTGCAAAAGACAATCTAAAAAGAGGTCAGCACTGTTTATTTTTTCAGTTAGCCAACATTTCTTAATCTATAACCCTATTCTGTCTGCAAGTTTTTAGTTGCTTTAAGTTTGTCTTAGAGATAAAATTCCTTATTCCTGATGTCTGCTTCAGGCTGATTTTTAAGTACTCTTAACTTCTAAGAAAACGGGCTAGTAGTTGCCCAAAAGACTTAAGTTCCATAAATTAAAAGCTCTGAAAAAAATTTCTGTGAATAGCTAAATCTGAACAAAGTCACCAGAGTGAATATCCCATCAACTTGACAATTTTTTTAAGTTTTAATTTTTTAAATAGCAACAACAGAGATCTCTTAGATGATAAAAGCAAAACCTTCCACAACTCATTCAACTGTGATTCCCCCAGCCCAACTTGCTGAGGTCCTAAGCCTTCACAGAGCTCCTACCCTCCTGACACCAATGAGCCCTAGGCCTTAAAACATCAAAAAATTACCTTCAATTTTAAGGACACAGGGTACACAGCTACCTAAACCCACTGTGAAAAAAACGAATGCATTTTTTAATCCTAATTTCCTTCAAATCCAGGTTGAGATCCAGCAGTCAGATATCACCATGAGAAGCACATACAAGATCACGAAGACACTAAGAATTGTATTTCTGCTGTAACATACCAGTATTTTGGGGGGAGTGGGAGGAGGCTGTGCTTTTACAGAGAAGTATTTGGTCACACAGCATACATTTATACTACCAACCAAATCTGGCCCTGGTGTTAAATTGTTTGTATGCAAATGGCTGTCAAGGAGCATCGACCATTTCAAATAAGGCATCCAGAGGCAGGCGACCAGCACCGGGAGCTCAGAGAGTCTGGCTCTGTGGATGTGAGCCATGTCATGCCAGCAAACAGACCTGGACCATTAAGTATTCATTAATACAGATTTAGCCACAGTGACCACTGACTAGACATTCCTCAGATGAACAGTCCTTTTTGTTAGAAGCACAGAAGAAAAAGTTTTCTCTTCTTGCACAACTGAAAACAGCATTGCAATGAATGTATGGAGAGCTCCAATTTCAGGCTGGATGTGCAGCCTTCAGTCTTGTATTTACTATCTTTTGGTGATTGGAATCTGCAACCCGAGTTTTACAAAAATCATTTTATTAAACTACTCAAGTTCAGTGATGTTCAGTTGATGGAAGGCTATAAAACTTTTTAAAACTGAGGGTTTTTTTATGGAATTTAAGTCAACAATTTTATACAGGTGAAAAAAATCTCTATTTTGACAAATCAATCTTCCAGTACTACTCTTAACTATGAAAAATTAATGGAATTTTTTTCTGACAAACTTCTAAGCTCAGGAAAACATTTGAGCCCCTTTCACTAAAATACTGTTTAAAATGAGGTCACTAACAAGAAATGCTTTGAATTAAATGTTTAATCTCCCTGAATTTAGTTAAACACCAAAGTACTTAACTAAATTATAAATATTAATACGATTCTAATTAATCCTAGAAGTAGCTTACTTAGAATTTACTTGAAGAAATGCATAAGAAAAATGGAGTGGGTTTTTTTTCTTGTGTCAGCTTATTTTAAGTATAAGGAATGACTTTTCATTGTGAAGGTCATTCTGCTGTTGTAAAATAAAGTGTTCTGTTTCTGGACATCAAAACATTATGTTAATAACACTATTTAGTTAACAGCACAGTGTCTTATAAGAACCTAGTCTTTTCACAAAACAAAATATTTTCCCAAGCATGGGAATACTGTCATCCTCAAAACAAACCTTCATTCTTTACAAAAAAGAGTAAATCAGATGATAAATGTCTTTCACAGAAGACAAACTGTTCCAAAGGAATGACACTTTCTACAAATACTAATAAGTATCCATACATGTTTTTTATTAAAAAACACCTGGAATCTAAAAATAGATATACTCAGTAATAATGAACAGAAATGTGAAATGTTAGCAATCCCCTGGACAGCAAGTTTTTTAAACAACAAAAGATATCACCTCATTCTAACAAGCTTTTATCAAAAAAGGCCATGTTTAGTTGTAAGCTTATGTAGTCTCCAAGTGACTTTGAACAAAGTCTATCAGGGCACACTGTCCCACATGCTCAATTTATAAAAACTAATAGAACACCTTATAATTCAAAATCAGCAACTTAGAATCATTGTAAAACACAGCAAAAGTCCTGAAGAAAAACCCAAGCACTATTCAAGCTGTTTCAAAAGCTTTTTTAATTCTAAACAAAGTTAAACTACTTCATAAAAACATTTTGTGCCATCAAAAATAATTAGTTCTCAATCTTACATTTTAAGAAAAAAAACCCCAAACACAATACTGTGTATTTTAGTGTAAGCTTAAATCTTCTTTTCTTTTTTTTTCCCCAGCAGCTGTACATGGAGATCATACCTCTAGGCTGTACGGTCAGGTATACAACAATTCGTTGAGATCCGATAATGTTGACAGCTTGGCATTCATACTGTCCCTGGTCATGCAAAGCAACCCTGGAAATCCTTAGGGTTCCAGAGGATAAAACTAAGTGTCTTCTGTCAACAGACAACTGGCCTCCTGAAACACAGAGCAACAGCATTTCCTATTTATAGCAGTGCAGAACAAAGTCCCTTTGTGTCAGAAAAAGGGAAATCCAGAAGATTTTGAATTAGATAAAACATTGAGATAAACATGCAAAGCAAACAAAACATACATATGCACACAATCATAATCCTGATCTCTTCTCTGTTTGTGGTAGCAATAAATATATTCATTTAAGGACCATGATAAAGCATCCAAATGAGAAGGCATCATAAGAAGAACACCAACAGGTATTACTGTTCATTTTGTATTATTGCCATGTGTGTAAGACACAATTCATCTTATCTACCTAGGCCATCTAGAGAATGCATAGAAAAATACATACAGCCCTGAAAAAAAGGTAATATAATAAAGATGAAATAAAAGGCACACCAGTGTCTGTCTGTACCCTATTCCTCCTTTCTGGACATTTCATTTGATTGGAGCAATCTTGGTAGAGAGAGAAACACGGACATTATCAGCATCAAAATGATCAAGAGTTTGTTAAAAATCTGCTTTATTTAGGATTTCCTAAGAGTTGTTTTGCTTGCTAGAGCTATTTCATTTGATTCAACTGGAATATTTACTTACTGGTAAAACATCCACTACAGTATCTCCTCCTGCTGGATTTGGCTTAATGCCTTTACAGCCATGACCTGATAAAAACAGTCAGCAGTGTGCACCCCAGTATTCCTGTCAATGCACATTAAGTGACAGAAATGCAGTTATACTGCTGCCAATTACAGGTTGGACTGTTTTGGTTTCTGAAGAGAGCACATCCCACCTAATTGCAGATCTCCAGCTAATGGTGGTCATCTCCATTTCTTCTGCAGTAAACCGGCAGCGATAGGTATTGCCACATGTGATTTGTCTCATATTTCTTAAACATTTATTATTAGGAATCTATAATGGAGACATAGATTTCAGTGACTCTTTTTACTGAATAATGAAAAACGTTTGGGCAGCTAGCTTCTGTGGGACACCTTGCCTTTTCTAGCTAAAGCAGAAAGAGATGAGCCTTGTTTCCTTCAGAGACTGAAGCATCTAAACAAATACATGGAATTCCTTTCAATGCAGGAGCAATTCCAAAATGACAGCTAAACTATTCTAGTAGCTCAAAAGTAAAAATGGAACATGCTTACCTCCTTTAGTCCAGGCAATAACAGGCTGGGGATAGCCCTGCGCTTCACAAGGGAAGTCAACAGTTTGTCCCTCAATCACCATTTTGTCTTGAGGAGTGACAGTAAACTGAGGTAGAGCTACAGAAGAGAAAATAAACTGGTTAAAGAAAAACAACTGAAAAATGCATGACTGCCTGAAATTACATACCGTTTCCTGTGTGACTTGAATAACTCTCATTGGTGGGAAAAGAGATGCTAATGGGACTCTTTTATATTGTGACAGCTATAGGGCAGAGAGTTAGGGCAGCCACTTGTGCAACAGGAACATCTCCCTCACAACCTGGCCCTGGTGTCAGTGAAGGCCTCTGGGATCTGCTGCCGTAGATCTGAACTAAGAGGTATGGTAAGACTTGTAGAATCAAACACAGAGTGTCCCCTGGATTAAAAATACCTCCTTCTCTTTCTCTGAAAAACTCCTCAGTTAAATTGTGAAGAAAATGCAATGCGGTCAAAACCATCCTAAGCTCCTTGTTTTATTCTTTATGCAAAAGGAAAGCAGTGAGTGAAGCGTGGGCCAATTTCTGCAGCAACATCATGGCATTATCAGTGGGAGAAGTAATTTGTTCAGCTCTCAAAACAGTCATCCGTTGGTGAATAATAAATGAACAAACCACATGGACAAGTTGTTTTGTATAGCTTTAAAAATTGAACTCATTAACAAAGCATTTGCAACCTAAACTGTTTGCCAACTAGAGATCTTAACGTGAGAAAAGAAACAAACTCAAATTTAAAGGTTACTCAAAATGTTTTGCAAATAAAAGTTCCAGCATGAAAACATTTGCAAAAAATATTCTCCATATATATAGGAGGCTTTTGATATATTGTGCTTGAAATTATATTTCGTATATACTTTTACTTTGTTTTGCAGAAAAGCTTTGCTAACACCTCAGCTGGCAGAGTGATAGTTTCCATGAAACTCAGCCAATAATATTCCCACGTTCACTGAAGTGTCTACAAAAGGAAGACAGCACAGATCTGTACTCAAAACTCCATTACTAGTACTCCAGGCACAAATTCTAATCTCTAGGATTGCTGCCTATTACAGAAAATATCTAATTAATCCCCCACAAATTTGACACTGCTTGTTTATTCCTACAGGCAAACAAAACATAATAACAAATAAACATTTCAAGATGCCAATGATTAACCTCTGAGAATAATCAGTGAAACTTAACTTTTGGAGAATTAGTATATATTATCGTACTCCGAATGAAATGTATAGCAACTTTCCTACAGACTACACTAGAACAGTGTAATTAGAACAAAAAAAATAAGGTTTTAGTTCCACTCTGACAATTCAGAAAAAAATACAAAACCACACAATTTAAATATACCCTTCCTAATATGTTTTACAGCTTGTCACTCCTAGTTTAACGTTACTCACCTTGGACTATGATGTATGCAGTTGCGTGGATATTATCTATGCTGTTAGTTGCAAAACAGGTATACTCGCCACTGTCCTCCTGCTTCACATTTTGTATGTAAAGTCCTCCTGAGGGAGTTATCGTGATGCGAGGGTCACTTGGTAAAGGGGTTCTGTCACCTTTGGTCCAGGTAATTCGTGGCTGAGGGTGCCCGGTTGCGCTGCACTCCAAGGTAACACTCTCTCCAACTAGCACTTCGGTATTTTGTGGGTGAATCACAAAACTTGGCCGGGCTGCGAGAAATGAGAGATGCCTAAATATGACTTTTAGCTCACATAACACTAATTTAGCTGAATACTACAACAGTTTGGGGAATCTAGCTGGTTTTTAATAGCTCTGTTCCAACATACTTCTAATCTTGGTGCAAACTGTGTCTCGCTTTAAGCCTAATCTAGCTGCAGACATTTATAAATATCAATAGATAAAAAATGAAAGCTCATATAATTGCACTGATGTTTTTTCTTAACTCCCATTAAAACAATTTTCAAACATTTCCTTCTCACGTCCTGATCTTTATAAAGGTCTCTTCAGAGGCATAGACACTGAGACACAGAAAACAAACCAGCTAAAAATTGTCATAAGTGCACAAAAAGAGAAAACTGATTAAACTATATTTTAGTAACTTTTCCCAACTACATGTGTGCTTCGCAGTGACATTTCAAGTTTACCTGATGCCGAGTGTCAAAACAAAATTTCCTCACAGCAAAGTTTGGAATTTGAAAACATTACAGTCCTGGACAGGAATTTAGTGCTTGCAAACACAAAGCCCTGGCTAGACAGAGATTCAGGTGAAAAAGTTCCTGAGCAAGGATGGCTGCACCATGTGTGCCAAAGCCTTCAGGAGCGGCCTGTTTGAAGCTCGTGGTTTTCAGGTATCCAGAGAGCACGCTACTGCACTGAGCAACGTTGCAACGTAACAGCCTCTCTTCCTAACTCTTCTACAAACAGCCTACCAGACTATCATCAGAATTGCATACTACAATAAACATTTTAATTAACTGGCTGATTTGCATTTTTGTTCTAGGGATATTATAACTTAATGATCTAGTTCTTAAGATGCCCAAGCACAAGAAATCTACACGTCAAGAACATAAAAGAGCCAAAGCATCTTACTTTTAGCAATCTTATTATCAAAACAATTCTCTATCTGAATGGAAAATTCAGACTTGATGTTCTTTACCTGGTGACTCAAAGTATCTAAGAGTAACTTCCTGAGTTTTCACTTCTCCAGCCACATTTTTTGCCATGCACTGGTAAATGCCTTGGTCTGTTTCTTGAGTATTCTGAATCATTAATGTGCCATCATCCAGCAAGTTTAGACGGGAATCTTCTTTCATACTGAGCTCATTACTGTGAAGAAAAGAATCTTCTGGAGTTAAACGTTTAAATCACAAGCACAGAAAACTGCCAAATAATAAAACCCAAAATATATTACCCAAAATAACTTGGGGGAAAAAAAAAGTTCTACTGTGTTAAGTAAAATAATAGAACTTCTAGTTTTCTCCTAAAGAGAAGAAGAAGAAGGAAAATAAAAAATGAACCAATTTTGCTTATGCAAGTATTAGATCCTCAAAATGAAAAGCCAAAATACTTTTATGAGTAAAAGCTTACAGGGAAAAAAGTGAACAAAATACACATACCTGGCCTGTCTCATTTTCCTTTAAGGCTGTTCTAACTGGTAAATCAATTTAAAATGTTTCCACTGGAAGTACATCATGTAAGTTCAACACTCAAGAGACTTTCTACTAGAAGAGGGGTTAGTTGCTATAAAATCAGCTTTGTGCCAGCCTCTGTCTGGATTGCTCAAGGAGCACTAATGAACCTGATAATAATTTGTACTGGCTTGAAATACAAGTTAAGATCATGTCTTCAGGCTATGTCATGGATGCATTTCTGTGACATTAACCAAGAACGGTTATGGGTTTTTATTAAAGGAACTGTTTCTCACTCCATCCCTCGCTACATGATGAAGCAAGCACAGAGGAGGGACGAGATCTCACCCCCTATGAACAAAACCCAGCCTGACTGCTGATCTATTCAACATACTGCTCAACAGGTCAATGGCTTTTGACTGAAATCTTGCCATATTCAACTACCTTGCAAAGAGCTTTGCTCTCATTCATGCAGCCAGGAAACAAGCCAGAGTCAATAATCCCACACCCCAAGCTCAAATTTCTTCTTAAAACTCTTTCATATGTGTATTCTGAATACATGTTTTCTTTGTTTATTATAAAAAGTACACGAGCCAAAGAAAATTTTAATGAAATAATTACACCATCCAAGTTCAAGGCTCTGTTCTTGACATACTCTATAAACACTGTACCCTTGCTGCACGTGGGGTTCTCACTGACATCAGCAGAAAGCTATAGAACCAGGGCTCTACGTTGTTCCATTCTATCAGCAACCAACAAAGTAAACCGGTTCATTTGCTAATATCAAGCGAGGGAATTTACCTTCCAGATCAGGTTCTCCATTTGTGTAAGAGCATTATTAAAACAAAGTCTGATGAAGCTAGTGGTAAACTCACAATTCACGTATCCATCATAAATTCCCATCAGTTTAAAGGGGGTGATGGGCTGCCACGTGGCTGGTTCAGCCGTGCTGTGCCTAGTGCTGCTGGAGGGAGCCAGGTTCTGGGCAGAGCTTGAGCAGCCACTCTGCAGCAGGCTGGCCCTTGGGCTGCTGAAAGACACACATCCTTTATAGGTCCTTCCCTCCATCCCCTAAGCAGTGAGGAAAAGCAGTGGAGCAGGTTGCCTGGAGAGCTTCTGCTACTTCCATCATTGGAGGCTTTTAAGACCCAACTGGATAAAGCAAGCTAGTATGAACCTGCTTTAAGCAGAAGGCTGCACTGGAGATCTCTTGAGATCCCCTCCAACCTGAATTACCCTACAGTCCTAAGATACAAGCACTTGCCTGCCTGCCTGTCATGTACCAGCCTGGGGAGCCTGGAAATAGATGTATCTCTCCTCTCCTGGAATGGAACTACACCTCAGAGGAAAGCTGCCTCCGAGGAGCTGGGGCTCAGGGAAGACCTCCTCTGAAACCTAACTCTTATCCAGCTGGGGTTCTTTAAAAAAGTAGCTTTTGCTCTGCCTCAAAATGTATGCCAACACTAGCTAACCTACAAACTGCACGTGCAACATGTCCATATTGAATTGCCTGGTACTTACATATAAATGATTTAATTTTACAGGTGTGAGCAACTTTGCAGGTGTAACTACAATTGAAGACCTTACCAATAGTATTATAGTCATAAATTAATATTTTCTAAAGTTATCAGCTCTTAAGTGTTCAGAATTACTAATAAAACAAATCTGTGCCATTATTACTTCATATACTTCTTTTAATCATAATATGTTTCTGCTGTAACTATTCCATATATTAGCATGTAATGCGTGTGGACACGCATCCAGAAATGTACACATACCCAAACATAGTTACATCAAGTTTCTCTCTTCCTCTTTTAAACTTACTTGTTTCGAAGCCAGATAATTTCTGGTTTAGGATTGCCTTCAGCTCTGCAAGTGAAGTACACTGTATTCCCTGAGGTAACGTCCACATCCTGAGGCTCTGATGTAATTCTTGGCCTCTCTGTATCAACAATAAAACCTGTAAGGAGCTCTTACTTGTTTTAAAACTACTAAAGAATGGTAAATAAAAAATTTTCCATACACCTTGTAGAAAAATAATTTTTCACAAATGTTTTAGCTTAAAATATTTATACGCTTAATCAGGATCAAACATACTTTTCCCTGTGCAAAAGTGACTGCAGGCATTCTGACCTCTTCCATTGTTCCTTAGGACTTTTAGCAGACTGGAAATGGATTGTGCAAATTTGTATCAGGTTCTAAAGTAGCTGTTTTATTTATTTGAACAGAGGCTGAATTTGCTTATGAAGAAAAACTTTAAAGCAGCAAGCACAAGTGCCATTTAAAATAACTTCCTCTAGATAAATATCAGTGCCTAACCTGCCTCCTACAGAATAATTTGTCGAGCTTGCTTCCTGCAGTTTGCATATTCCTGCTCCTTAGATGTGCAGAGAGCTGGTAGGATGCCATGTGAATTATTCTTGCACCAAATCCCCTTTTTACTATCTTTTTCATGAACCTTGTAGAAGCTTATGGTCATAATTCTCATGATAAGAATTATATCCAACACATAACCAAAAGGACAATTTACTTTTATATCTTGGCCTCATCATGTCGCTGGGCAGGCAAATGCCCATAGCTTGATGAGAAATCTGCATTTTGATTTCAGAACACAAGAGGTGTGGGGCCATGTCCCAGGGTGCCCACGGGGCCAAGCCTTTGCACCCCTAGGCTGAAGGAATACAGACGAACAAAAGGATTATAATGGAAGTGCTTATCCATTAATCCTTCAGTGGCAGAGGATTTCAGTACCTGTGCAGGGCACCCCTTGTAAGTATAGCTGAGTAAAAAAGAAATTCAGTGGCCAACCCTGATTCCAATAATGTCAACAAGAGTTTTAACAATAAGATCTGTGAAATCAGGAGCAGTTCTGTACAGCTTCTTTCTTCCCCTTCCCTTGTACAGAAGGGAATAAAGGACACAAAACAATATTAACATAACACCAAAGACCCTAGCTGACAATCTTTTTGTGATCAAAACTGAAATATAAAAAGGAAAAATAAACTCTTTCCAGATAATCACATTTAGTTCCTCAAGGAGAAATTTCAAACATGGCTATATTTGTTTCATTAAAGATAGGCTAAGGCGTAAAAGCAATCAGTTCTGTCAGAAGCAGACAAGTGAGAAGGAACACAGGAAAATTTCTGGAAATAACCAATGTTGACCAGAGGTGGTTGGTATTATCAAAGGGAACATAACAAATTCTAACAAAACAAAACAAAATAAAAAAACCACAACAGTTTAGGTACATTTAACACATTCAAGAAGCCATCAGGCAGTGGCAAACCCACCACAGTTAAGTTCTTCTGGTGTTATCGTGGCCACTGATCTTCCCTGGATTCTTCGTGGGTACTCACAGGTAGCTGCTGCTTGAGCATTACCCGACTCTGCATATGTCTTCAGCAGCTCCGCCAGCCACAGGATTTCACAGTCACAGTGAAGAGCGTTTGAATCCAAACGCCTGCACAAAACAAGAAGCACCCACAAACACCTATTAGCAAGCTTCAACTATTTTGCTAGGATTAAAATGGTTCTGCAATACCAACAGCACCTTTATCTGTGAAGACAGACAAGGGGCAATATGGAATACACATGACGGTCACATGCTTGTGTGCATTCTGGTACCCTTTATTACAAAAATGCTATTATTTTTACTGCACAGGCAGGATTGTGTTCAACACAGTAAAGGTCTAAATAACATTTCTTTTTTAACCCAAGCATTCAGTGAATAAATCAGGTTTTATTTAGATGTTATACAAACTTTGCTTAAATAAGGAACTTATACTATTCTCCCCACATATTTTTCTTTTTAATACTTGTCACTGTAGTAACTTCACAGCTAACCTGACATTTTTACAACTTCCCATTTTGCCGATCGGGCAACTGAGACAAAGACCCACAGTTTTATTCAAGCATTAAGCTCTCATTGAGTTCAGTGGGTCAGTAACTTTGTAAAACACCTGCCTATTGCAGATAACGAGAACCCATAAATTCTGTTGACTTTCTTTCCAGTAGTGAAGGGCCCTGTTACTACGTGGAGCACTGCACTTTCTGGTGGAGGGCCCTGTAGGACAATAAAAACATTAAGTACAGAAATCTGTACCATTAAATATATCTATATAGAGATTGGAAATAAAATTGCATGCCAAAGCAACCTAAGTTTGGTGTATCTTTGGGGGTAGTAAACTTTTTGATCATTTTGTCTTTTTGTATTTTTTTAACCTCTTGTACAAATGCCCAGATATTATTTCTTCCCTGTTCTCGTGCAAAAAATAGGCAAGAACAAGCAAAACTATTTTAAAAGTTACTGTACAAATGTCTTCCAGTATATCAGATGTTACAGGTAGAATTTAAATCCAGAACACGAAAGTCACAATGTGACCTTCAGGGATAAGCTGTCCCAGGTCAGAGGACACCAGGTTCATCTAGCCCGGTGTCCTGTTCCACTCATAGCCACTATCAAAATTCCCCTGGACCTAGGAATTATGTGATGAAGCATCCCTTTCTGTTCGCTTGAACTGCACAAGAATTTAAGGGAGGTATGAGTGAAGCACCTACTACTGGAAGGTGCATACGTCATGAAAATTTACTTCATTCTGCCTTTTGCCCACAGTTAAAGGTATGGTTTCACAACTTTCCTAAGCCAGCAGGACAACCTTCCTGTTACGTCCCTTGAGATCTCTTTTCCCAGTAGAGCTAGCGCTGTGACTCGTGGCACAGCACACCCTCAGCAGTCCCCCCGGCAAGGAGGGGTATGAATGCACTAGTGCCTTTCTCAAAACGGCAGTCGTGGATCATTTAAAGAATGTTTATCCTAGATCAGTGGAGATCCAAAGTGAGGGAGAGAAAATCCTCTGAAAGTCACCTTACTATGGTACTTTTCTTGAGTTCCAGTTTTCAAATGCTACTGAGGGACTAAGAAGCCTCTAATTTTCCAAGTTAATGGCATTTCAAGAACTAGCTTCTGGAGTTGCTTTTGAAAGTAATACTTATATTCTTAAACCATCAAGCACCTTTTTATAACCACGTTTTTATCATAAGATAAGGACAAGCAAAACAATTAAAAGAAAATACCAAAATAATCAAATATTGAAAGACGTTGAAGGATCACCCAGTAAAACATAGACAAGGGGGGGGGGGGGGACCCCAAAAAAAAAAAAAAACCAAAAAAAGAGCCCGAGATATTATTTAGTCTACAAAACAAGACCATATGATTACAAACAATTCCAAGACAGTAAACAAACAAAAGGGTTTAGTCAGTCACTAAAGACAGTAGGATATGAAGCAATGGTCTCAATCTATGTACGTAAACAACCGGAGCACAGCTTAGGAAAAAGTATTTAATATGTAAAATAATTACACAATGAAAGGCATTTGCAAGAAAGATAAATATTGCAAGATGAGATACCGTATAATTAGGTTATTTAAACTTTCTTTTGTTCAATAATAATTCAATTTACTTACAGTCTCTTCATAGATTCTAAGTGACTAAATGTTCCAGGAATCAAATGAGCTATTCTGTTGTTATGCAAAAATCTGTTAAAAAGCACAGAAATATGCATGTAATAATTCAGACTTTGAGATGTACTCATTTCATTTACATTCTTCTGAAAGTCCTTTAAGAGGAAGTAATTTTACAAAATTAAAAAGAAAATGAACCTTTTTCAGCAATTCATTGGCTGCTATTTTTTAAGTGGCCTCCAAGGTGTATTTGGTGTGTCCATATGGGGAAAAAGAAGCCATAAAAAGATAAAGTATCCAAAAGGAAGGGAGTTCATAAGCATTCAAATGAGAAACTCAAAAAAAAAAAAGAAGTCATAATATAAATATTCTATTTCGTCATTCATAACATTTATTTTAGGCCAAACATTGATCACAGCCCTTTGGGAAATGGTTTTATAATAGAAAACTATACCACAGGCAATGCTCACTTCTGCATGTCTCTAAGGTCAGCCTGACCAAAGTGTTCTTGGCAAAGACAATGTAGTAGTTACAATAAAAAATTTAAATTAAAAATAATCTATGGGAATGATAAAAATATTATTTTCCAGTTTCAAACATTTGATTTAATTCAAACAAAGAAGCAAGCTGACTTCTGAATCTTACCCCAAGAAAAACAAACTTACAGCCTTTCAAGTTTTGGAAGATGGGTAAAGGATTCAGGTTCCAACGTTTCTATTTGATTAAAGTGCAGATACCTGAAAACATGTTAAACAAAAAGAAAAATACTGAAACAGTTTTCTTAATGAAGCTGAAATATTATTAAGCATTTGTTATTGTTTACACACTGTTTACACATCTAAATGGTGATAGTGATGTAGTGGATTAACTTTCTTTTGTTATCATCTGAATCCTGCACTTGAATCTGAGAAATACAAGACGTGACAAGCAAGTAGGGTTTGCAGACCACTACAGTGTGTGTGTGTGTATGTGTCCGAGTGTGTGCAAAAAAAAATTATTTGCAAACCATTACTTTAGAGATTTTGGAGATACTACTTTGAACAATCTTTTGCCAAGTCTAATATTCATTAGTATGCATACTTGAATAAATATTTATGGAAAAAATTATGATTTTTAACAGGAAAATGTTGCTATCACACTGAGTGAAAATTTCAAAAGATGCTGAGAAGTAGCCTGCTCTAGTCCATGAATACTGACATTTTAAGCTATGAACACTCTCAAAAGCTCAAAAGCCAAACAAATTCATAATATAAAACCAAGTTTGACTGAATTGCTTTTAGACGAAGGGCTTCCCAGCAATTGGTGTACAATTAACCACCACAGCTGTGCTCTGTTTGATGCTCTGTTGATGCTTATGTAAGCTATTAATATTACACAGCAACAAATACTACACTGAAAAAGTCTAATGTAACAAGACAATTAACCAGATTATTAATCTGTAACTGCTGTGAAAATGGACAGCAAAGGCAGGATCATTTCAGTCTTGACTATGTTGTGGAGGTACTCCATAACCTTGCAGATGAGAAAACAAGAAGTAATTGATAAGACTTGCACAAGGAACTGTGCAAATGATTTATAGACTTTGGATCCTGATCATATCCAAATGTATCCAAACCTCCTAAAGTTTCTTATTTGACCTCTGACAAACTCAGGAACATCTGGAGAATGTGCATATATAGAAATCAGTGTGGGCTGAAGAGCGAAAAAGCCCACCATTTAAAAACAAAAACAAAATCTCAGACCCCTAAATCTCCTGAAAAATCAGTCCTTCAGCAGGAAAAGTAAAAGGATGTGGGAACTCCCTTGCGCTGCAACACCGCATGTGCTCTACTCCCGGATCTGAGCCGGACGGTCGCCGCGGAGAGAGGAAAGCGGGAACAAGCGGCGATTACGGCAGAGAGCCGTTGCGGCGAGCCCTGGAAGGCGCGTGCGGCGGGGAAGCCAGGCACGTGCCTGGCAGCCTCCCAGATCCCCCGCCAGCAGCAGCACGGCCCGAGCGCGAGCCAGCAAGTGATGCCAGGGAGCAATGAATGGGGACCACAGAAAAAGCCAATAAATCAGCACGGATGGGATCAGGCACATCGGAGCGTCAAGTCTGCTTACTGCCAGTGCAACGCGTGGCCACACACTGTAGCGAGCATAGAGCAGGATCCTGTTTGCATAAGGAAACAAGAAGTCCGTAATCACGCTATGCCTGCCAGTCTTCATCTCCCTTTTGAAAAAACAGGCCAATTTCATCTAAATTAAAAACCCAGACATCTCAAAGGCAGATACTTCCTGCAAGGTTCATTCGAGTCACCGGCGGAGGGAAGGGAGACCTCAGTCCGGTTCAGCCCCGAGGAAGGACCGGCAGGACGGGGCTGGTATCGGCCCCGCGGGCAAGGCCCGGCCACGAGGTGGGCAGGCACAGCTCGCCGGGGCCAGGGCTCTGCTCGCCCAACTGCCCAGCATCAGCAGCATTTGGGAGGGGGCACGGCAAGGTGGGGATCGCTGTGGTGAAAGAGGACGAAGGGAAAAACCGGGCACAACTATAGGGTTTGTTCCTTCTTCTGCAGCAGCTTGGACTTTGGAAAAAAAGTACATACGCTACTTCTTGTGCAGCCAACAGGGATTTTTTCCTCTTTAGCTTTGTTAATTCTACTTGCATTTTTATGATTCATGAGCACCTTGCAAACGTATCTCCTTATCTTCCTGATAAATTAATCTCTTGTATGTCTTTGGCATCGACAAGGCAAGATTTGTAGGTACAAGTCATACTTCTTACTAGAGTAACAAATAACGTTGGTAAAAGCAGGCACACTGAGGCACGCAACCCCTTCTTCAGGTCCATGGATCAGAGGTGAGATTAGCAGAGAGAAGAAGAAAGGACACCTCTCTCAGATGGTTTAAATGATGTATGTATACATCATTAAACTCAAAGCAACAGCTCATAACTGCTGTTTAGTATTCAAGACTACTGTAAGTGCAGATGTAAAGAATACTTTCTGTGCCTGAAAACTCAACTTGTTTTTCCAAGCAAATTAATCAGTCTAATTAAAACAATACTTCTGTTATAAACCTTGCCTTGTTTACAACCTCAAATCATCACAGATACAACTACAATAATTCAGGCACTGAAGCATAGTACAACAGTTAACTTTACCTCACCAGAAATCATGCTGCCTAAAGTAGCTCAAAAAATCAAATCATGAAGTCCAACTGGAAAATACTCTTAACTGCTTCATATGACAAGTTAGTTGGGTTTTGCAAATCTTTAAATTATGACCTCAAAAAAGCCCTGAGCAACTTCTCAGGCAATTTATGAACAGAACAAGGTACTAAATATGTGGGCAAAGTAATTAGCAGCAAGTGTAATTCTAAAAAAATAGATGCAGAAACCAGATTGCATTGTAAGTCTACAATAAAAAGAATAAAAAAATCTTTGGCTTTACGACCTACACTTTAATCACATTTTATCACTTAGGTTTATCACTTACATTCTTTTCTTCTATGACGACATTAATGCTTTTTTAAAGGATTTTTAATATTTTAATTAATATGAAAATTTCTTGGGACAGGAAATTCACTTTAAAGGTAATCAAATTCAGGAAACAATCTCACACTGACATGTCTTTATAGATATCTTTTATGTTCAGAGTATAAAATGCTCTTAAAAATAGTAGTATGATGTAATGAATTTGATATTAAGAAGACTTTCATAACGGAAATTTAAACAAAAAGCATGCAAGAGTGATTTTTAAATAACCCCGTGTCTTCCTTTTCTAATTTTGAATTCGCTATCAAGGATGAAACAGAAGGAAAGGAAATACTTAAAGGAAAAAAAAGTCTAAACCAAACACACCTAGAGGAAAATAAAGATTTGATCAAATAAGCATGGTACAGACTTTGTCTTTGTTATTATTAATCTTGCAGGGTGAACATTTACACTAAAATTCAGTCCCAGTGGCATTTTTCACAGCACTATATTTAGGATTATATCTTCTGTAGTATAGGGTTTTTGTAGAGGATTACTTCTATCGTATATGCCAATTGTTTATTTCTAATAGTATCTTCACATCTTTGGGGAAGTACTTAAAGTCCATTAGTTGAATATAATCTATGTTCTGAATATTTAAATAGCATGTTTGCCTTTTTGATTATTTGAAAGAGAATGAACAAACATATTTTTCCCGCATTTATCAAAGAACTTTCCCTGCCCAGGGGTATGACAAGAAGTAACAGGCTTAAGCCACAAGGAAAGAGATTTAAATAGGATGTTACAGTAACGATATAAAATATTGGAACAAGATAATTAAGGAGATTATGGAATCCTCTCTTTAAAGACTTTTAAAATAAGGCTAGATAAATATCTGTTTCCAGTCATCTAGGTTTGTTGTCCCTAGCTGATCTTATTTTAGAATAGTAAGAATGTACTTCTCAAGCCCCCTTTCATACCTTTTAGGTCGGTTGGTTTGTTTATTAATTAATTCTCTTTCATTATTCTTTACCATGGGAATTTTTAGCAGCAATGAGACTTTAATCAGGCTCCACTGTGCTAAATGTGCGTAACTGCTCACATACAGTTATGCAAAAACCAGGAACTCTTTGTAATATAAAACTTTTAAAATTTCATAGCAACATTTCAAAGACAATGAAAATTGAATTGAGGGAAATAAAATGAATATAACAAGCTGCATCACTATATGCAAGATAACATTTTTATCTATTAATTTCCCCCCAAATATGTACATGTGTATATAAACTACAGCATACCTCTAATAACAGCCTATAAAGAGCAAAATTAGTATGTTAATATGAACGTTAAAAGAAAATGTATAATTAGTATTCAACTAAGATTAGGTAAACAGATTTAAATAATTCCATTAGTATTTGGGGATCCCACTAGTTAACTGCAGTGAACACTTTTTGTCTCTGATACATACAGCTCATAAGCTGAGCTCTCAAAAAATATAGCAGATATTTGGAAGAAAAGCAACGTACACACATCTGGAAATAGAGTGCCTTTAGAATTCGATCTTGGGATCCAGATACAGCAAACTCATGACCTCCCAAGCCAGTTATTTGTGATATTTCAGGTGGGATTCAGTTGTCTAAGCACAGGCATATAGAGCCATATAGCGGTTGTCTAAGTGCAAGCATATAGAGGCAGCTTTCGTTGCCCTTCGGGTGCTCTGGCTGCCTTCTGGCTGCTGCTCTGAAAAAATGCAAGTTTCCTGCAGCTTTGTGTTACGCTTGCCAGACCCAAACATATGTCTTGCAGATTTAACGGGGTCTAAACTGGTACTAAGCGGCTACTTTTCATCAGCTGACTTTCTCCCTTCATGCCTTGCCATGACTGAAGATTTAGGTGACGAAATATGTATGGCTCAGTGCGTTCAAGCATCTAAAACTGCCAAGGTTTTTCAGAATTTACTCTAGCACAAGTGAGTTTCAAGATCTGATTCAAAGATCTTATTCCCTTGGCAGAAATTTCCGAAGAAAAAGATATTTCTACCACATCAGCAGCTAAAAATTCTGCCATGGAGGTTTAAGAAGGATCCTGCCAGCCGCAGTAAATACTGGGTTTGGGTTTTTTCCATTATATATGCAACAGGTCTCCTAAATCAAACTATATTTACAGTTTCTCTTAAACAACAACAACAACAACAAAACAACAAACAAAACAACAAACAAAAAAACGCAGAAAAGTGTTTGCTTTGCTCTTCAGGTTTTTTTAAAAAAAGCAACTATCAGTTTCATTCTGCTTCACTGAACTAGAAGAAATTACTATGCGTCAAGTCTTTCCCTGAGATGTGGACCACAGCATCTACTTCTGAGAACTCTGCTGAGCACTGAGAAGAGCATTTGGCTGAATCAACACATCCAGTAGCAAAATGCATTTAACTTGAGGCCATAGAAGACTCAAGTGCAGAAATATCGACTGAGTAGTCGATACAGTCCCAAACTGAAGTTAGAGGACTTGCGAACTTGTTCACAAAGACTAACTTCTGTCTTATGAACAGTGTTTCTCCAAAGACAATGTGATAAAACAGACTGTAGAGTCAGAACCTATTTTTACGCTAAAGATGCATAAATGACAAATCTCTCATAAACTACAAATCTCAATGAATACCCTCCATTAAATTTATTTCCAGGTCTGCCACTGGCTTCCTGCACTCCCGTTTTCCCACCTGACAAGCCTTCTTTTTAAGATCTGCCCAGAAGAAGGGCTCTAAAAGAAGTGAGCTTTCTGATACGCAGCTAGCAGGGCAGGAAACCCCCTCAGCAGCTCACCAGACCAGCCATAGGCACTACTTGTGTCAGCCGATGCCGTGACACAAAGGGCAGTCACTGAGCAGCGACTGTGCCAGGCTCTGTTTCCATACTTCCCGGCTAGAGATGAGACTCAAACCCTGTTTAAAACTTAATTTCATACAGAAAAAATGTTGATGTCTCCAATTTGAGCTTAAGCTGATACACTGTGGTATCACTGCAGGCAGAGACACTTAACTGCAACCTAGCGGAAAAGCACATTCAGAAGGTTTTAATAATTCCAAAGTGACTCATGTTTTTCAGTCATAACATAGATCAACAGGAAGTAGAGCAAAAGAAAAAAGGACAAATGTTGCCACTTGCAGCGCATTAGGCTTGTGGCATGGGGAAGAGTATTATTTTGGAAGCATTAGTTATTCAATAAATGCGCCTCAATATTTCAAATTCTACAAAGAAAATAAGAATTGCTATTAGCATGCAAGTAAGCCCTACCAGTTGCTGTCAATATGCTGCAGTAATCATTTCTAGAGTAGGAGGAAGAGGAAGAGAAAGGAAACAAATGACATATATAAATATGTTTTATACTTATCACTTTTGTTTTATATAGAAGCTCTTCCTTCAAAAGGCATCTATTGCCCTCTAAAATGAGCTTTTATGATTTTGTACCCATCCGAAGTGCCATTTCATTTCAGATACACACTGTGTCCACTAATATCCACAAGAGGTTTATAACAACAGGGAAACTGGTACATATCATAGAAAATTTGTAATACACCAATAACTGTCAGGAGTTTCAAAATTTATGTTGCTCCTAGAAGAAAGATATTCAGCCCCCAAAATTTATATGCTACAAAACTCATTGGTCTAGTACTGTTATTTGGCAGCCAAACCGTGAAATAGCTATGCATTTATAGCTTTCTGTTTTTCTAAACATTACCACAATGAATGTATAGCAATGCTTTCCGATTATGACAAAATATAAACTTAATGGTATCAATACAATCTGTTTTTTGTCATGCTAAGGACTGCATTTTTCATTCTTTTTTGATAGAAATTATTTTTCAGTCATTATACAGGAAAAGGAGTATGATTTTAATCAATCTTTCTAGAAGACATTACTGAAGCATCTACATTACAAATAATGAACTTTCTTACTTTTTAAACAACTGTATATGGTAATTATTAACACATATCCATAATAGTAAGGTTTTAATTTTAAAAACTCTTCTTGTATTAAAATCTAACAAAACTGGGTTAAACTTCAGGAGGCTAATTCAGCTTTAGTTATGCTGCATAAAACAAAGTAACTGCTGCAGCCAAAGGAATTGCAATGTTATAACACCTACAGAAATGAAATCAGAATCTCTCTCTAAAGCAATACACATTAGTTTTCAACATTTTCCACAATAATGCTTCTTCTTCGTCAAAGCTATGTAACAATGTATAGGGACACCGGGAATGCAAATCACAAATAAAAGACAAACATAGAAATGAGGAATTTGACACAGAGATCAATTGTGTTTTTTCACATGCAAATGATTATGAGGCTCTCTGCCTAACAACCCAGGGAGTGCGGACATGCAGAGCATGCAGGCAGGATGTACGGATCAAGGCGTGCACTTTTCCTCTGCAGGGGAACCATGGAGATGACAGCACAGAAGAGAAAAGGCACTTACAGTTGTTCTAGAGAGGCAAGTCCTTTAAATGCTTGCCTGTCAATTGACTGGATTTCATTCTTGTACAAATAGCTGAAACAAGAAACAATCAGTAATATTAGTACACAAACAAGAGCTACATGAAGGTGGAAAAGAAGAATTAAGTTGACACATGAAGACAGTTTTTCAACTACATATTAGGAAAAAAATACAAAACAAAACCTAAACACATACACATAAAAATACTTTGTCCTTCAGATTTCATCCCAAATGTTTGCCAGGAAAGACAAAAGTCTGGGGCCTTGTAGGCCCCCAGGCTGTCACCTGGATGGTCTTGGGCTTCCCAGTGCTCACTGTTACTACTTACTGTTTCTTTGCCCCTCAGTTTCTTGATGGGCTTGCCAAAGTCAAAATAAATTCAACTCAATGGGACAGAATTGCATCAGAAGTGCCTTTACCAGAACACACCAGGGATGCCATTGGCCTTTTGCTTTCTTTAAAATATCTCATCTGAATACTGGTACAAATATTCAAATTATGATGGAATAAGTCTTTTTATTGGACTTGGAGAACAAACTGAGAATTTCTATAACTCCACCAGAGTCACCTTTTGAATATTTACAAAAAAGTACAAGTTAGAATATTGGTAATGCATTCATAAAACAGCATTGTATGTTTGTTTTATCACTGTGTAGAAGATGGACATTAGGTCCCCAATGATACTCTAAACAGAATAAACGTATGCAGGCTACCAGTATGTTCACATGTGTTGTCTATATCTTTTCTACAGAATTAAAATAAGTGGGGATGGATCACTGTACATGCTCATGTTCATAATGCTTTTAACAGCAAGGGTGGTTTAGTCAGAGGGTGTTGGAAAAAAAAATCACACAGTTTAGCCGATGACTGCAGTTTCTGCATGGAGGCAGCAAATGAAAATACTTTTGGGGTTCAGTGTCAGTCACCCTCTTTTTGTGTTAGGTTAGGAACAGGTTTGCAGTTAAGAACTTCCTCACAATTATTTGACAAATTATTTGAAACTCAGTTAATCAGGGATGGATTTCTACGAAAAAGGGATGAAGAGACTTTGGACCACAAATGGCTTTATTAGCAGGCATTTTATTAGTAGTGGGTTCGGCTTTTCTATTATTACAGTTCTCAGTAACTTACTGGAAATATTGCAAACTTCTTTTGATGCAACAGATAAATACTGGCTCTGCTGGAGTTGGTGGCAGTTTTTACACCAACTTGACAACAGGCAATATTTCACAATAGGCCCTAAAAAGGAAAAAAGTTGTGCATATCTGATGTTCAACTCATGACAACTTTGAGGGACAATATGGAGTAGTATCCTTCCCTTGAGTCTAAATTTAATTTTCCAATGCATTGCTTGCTGCGATTCCAACACATTAATATACAGAGACATGCACCTGAACAAAAAGCAGAGTTCCTCCAATAACAGAATAACAAGGAAGGAAAAATTTCTGAGGTTTTTAAAATGCTCAAAATTATGAGCAAATTAAACTGGAAAAAAAAACACTGTCATATGAAATTACTGTAAAAACTTTAAAAATAATTTGAAAAGAGAGAGAGTAGATGTATTACACATTTTGGATGTGGAATTGGTTTTTATTCTATTTGAAAAAAATATTTTTTCACAAGTATTCAAATATTTCTTTTGACTCAGATTCATCTGAGGATCATAGTCATTACAATTTTGTATCTCCTTAATTTTCCTCTTTGTATGATATTAAATTCCTATCTTATTTTCCAGCGAGAATTTTAAATGCACCATTTCTTTTCACTCCTCAGAAAATTTCAAGGACTGAACAGCTAAAGCGTTATTTGCCTTTCTTAATACACTCCACTTGGCAGTGTGGAAATTCCTCCTATTCCTCTGAGTACAAAACTTCTGATCAGGCCAGTGAACCAGAGTGGGCTAAGATGGTTTTAACAACCAACCTCAGATAAGTATCTCTTGTGGGCATTTGAACAATTTTATTCCAGAAATCTGAATTAATCCAATTTTTAAAAAAAAGTTTTACCAGAATCAGTCATGTTACTTTTATTTACTTTCTGCAGACAAAGTAAGGCAGAGTGAAAAATAAAGGTGTGTCAGAGAAAAATAAAGGTGCGAGAATGACTTCGTAGTTTTGCAAACTTTTACCACCATACTGCAGGGAAGAGAGCAGCCCTTCATGTCCCCTTTTGGAGCACCATAGTGGGACTTTATTTGGGATTCAGCTTTAAACCACAACTTTTTCCATTCGGATCAGAAAACCCTCACCTACAGGACACTCAACTGACCTCAGTGCATCACGCCCCCCCTCCACAGAGAAACCCCAGCAACCCCAAGGCTACAAACACGTATGTCCTATGGCAGATGTGTTAACCAGACTTTCATTTAATTGTGTAGATGTTTCCCTGAGGATATTAACAGAAAGAAAATTTTATAAATATTTGCCGAATGGAGAGAGATGACAGAATACAAAATACAAATAAGTAGCACTCACAAAAAATATTTGTCTTTCTAAAGTGCTACTGTGCCTAACAAGTAAAACTTTGTAAACACTGCACTAATCTTTAACAAAAACATTCTCAAAATTTATCCCAGTTAATTAGTGTAAAACAGATTTAGAGTATAATTAGGGAAAAAGTAATTTATCATTTAATTTACCTAAAAGCTCTCTTACAGAACTAAACCATTAGATTTTACAAAGAGTGAATAAACAGTGGATTAAGATGAAAAAGGGATATATTATACTAAGACATTAAATTATTTTCTGGCAATTACTACTAACTGTTTTCAGAAGAGTTGAAAAACCCAGCATTTTTCCAGAAATGCAAGCAAGGCTGATAGAGGCTAGAGGTACTGGTCACATACTTGGGAAATGAAAAAAACAAATAGGTAACCAGTTATCAGAAAATTAGAAAAAAGTAGTTTTAATTAAAAAGTTTGCTAGATCCCCTATGAGGATAATTTTGGGGTTTTTGTTTGGTTTTTTTTAATGGACCATATTAAAAGTCATGTGATTTAAGGCAAGTAAGGTCCAGATGTATTTGTTTGGAACTAGAGGGAAAAAAAAGTAAAAAGTAATAGCAATATCAGGCATTGTAGAGTTAAACCTGACAAGTAAATAAATACAGCAAAGAGAGATTTATATAGAAACATAAAGGAGACAGTGGAATTAGCAACATGAATTGAAAAGAAATGAGATCCAGAATCACTGGAGCTTGTCAAAGGACAAAGTAACATGACCACGACAGCAACAGTGGCAGAAGGCACAGAAGGAAACGTGACCTAATCCCATTTCTAGAAGGGCGAGGTCAGCAACTCAGCACTTTGGCACACCTATAATGTATCTTCTACCACTATTACTTCATTCACCAAAGGCAAAACAAACCTTGCATGTTCCCTTTTAGTATTTCCAGAACTGATACATTTCATACAATCTTAATTTCCATTTATCATATGTGTATCGCAATGTTGTCATGTCTGATTCCTCACCTCTCCATTTCTTACTAGGTGAACGTCTCAATGTTGTTGCCAAAGTTATTTTCATTCTCCATTTTTATTTCCTTCACACTAGCTTCTAGTTTACTGCTTTGTAATGCTCTGACCAAGTACCTTCTCTTTAACTGGAAAGGTTTTTTTAATCACTAATCTATATTTCATATTTTTCCATATCTCCTCCCTAAATTCTTTCTTTTTAACTTAACCTCATTTTTTTCCACTGCTGATTCCAAATCTTCTAGTATCCTACATGTTAAAACAGTAGTATGTGTCTACCTTCAATTCCCAATTATTTTCTCTCTTGGAGAATAAACTGTTGACTTTCAGGATCAGGAAGGATTACCCTACCAAGTTGCCACAAATCTGCCTGCATCTACATTATAAGGTTGGGAAGCTTTTCTTTCTCATCTTTCTGCACTACCACCTCTAGTCAGTAAACTAAATAACTCACAGGAAGTCAATTAAATATATTCAGTGTACCATATACATCATGTACACATATACCTATACATCTTGTATCAGGAACAACAAATTGCGAACATGTTACCAATTATTTTGCTCATATGAAGACAACTTTTAAAGTTTATTTTAGACAGGAGTGTTTACAGTACCCTTTGCAGAAGGGGAACATAAGACCCAAAAACATTACACAGAATCACTGAAGTGGAGATATAAACTATCTTATGGATGGGGTCCAAGTTACTAATGCTTTTTTGATCCTTACTAAAGAACCATATTGCCAACACTAAGGTATACGAAATAAAGACAGACAGACAGAAAGGCAGAAAGGCAGCAAAAAAAAAAAAAGTATTCTCTTTGTTTCATAGCAAAACAGTAATAATAATTTCTTTCCAACTTTTAGTATATGAATTCAAAGACAAATTATTGCCACAAACAACACAGCAAGATCACGCAAAACTGTTTATAGAACTGTTGAAATTTCAATTACATAAAGAACAAGATAACAAGATAACAAATATTCCTATAAATAAGCTTCAAAATTGTAAGTGCATAATTTTCTTTTTATAATGTAAAGACCAACTTCTACAATGATGAATATTTTTAATGTACAGAAAATAAGGAAGTATCATTACTCTTTGTCAAAATTTGTTCTTCAGATAGAGAATTCTGAAAACATATACCTCATAAAAATCCAAGCTCAATTTCAGAAATAGTACAAAGAACCATTTGAAAATGCTAGGCCTTCTTTGACACTTGCTGGAAAAAAGTTTTGTCCGAAAGCACAAAAACTGATCTTCAGCAGAGATACAGGAATGGGCCTTGACATCTAATCACTCAGACTCTGGCTTTTTTTTTTATTATATACTGTATCATGTTTTATACTTACATATTTTATATATAACTATATAGTTACAGGTATTTTTATACATAGTCAAATATTCATATTTACTAATAGTTCTACATTTTATATTTATATACACTTATATTTCGCTAAATAAAAGCCACTGAGAAATGACAGGCTTTCTAAAATTACTCAGTGAATTATATATTTTCAGAACCATCTGCAGTCCAGTACTTGAGTTCTCATAAGAACACAGCTAACATCATGGACCAATGATCTCATTTTATGAAACACAACAATACAAGTTAGGTTTGCAAATATCCATAGGATCAGGCCATATAAAACCTCAATTATTCCAGATGATTTGGTTTTATAATATGAAATTCTTAACAATATTTCTAACTTTTGTACAATCTCTCCCTCCTAATTTCTACTTCAGTTGATCCTATTGAGAAAAAAATGGTCTGTTTTGTTCCCTTTGTTCCACAGAATACAGTTAGCATGTACTTAGCTGAAATCTTCACAGCTGAACTGTATGTATTTGGTACATTTAAGCCTTCCACATTGATTATCTGACCAGTTCCAGCATTTTTATAACGTTAAGACTGTATAGTTTAAAGCTAAACATTTATATCGCAGCCACTGAAATAGGCAAAAAGATCTTAAAGTTTATTTTAGCAAAATGGGGGATGGCTTTAAAGAAGAGCTCTCTGCAGTTGAATGACCTACCACATTGAATTTTATATTCAAATTTCCAGGGAACAAGAGAAAAGGAAAAGATCTTCCTCTTAACAACATAGATTGGATAAACATTACTACATGTATATGAAAACAAATCATAGTTATCTCTTTTCACTCTTTTATTGAACTGAACAGAGTGCACAGTTGAGTTTTATCTCAGGTTTACTACAGGTAGGCAAAGGCAAGCATGTGAAAACAAAGAACTAATAAGAACCAACTAGTATTTTTGCACAGTGGCTGACTATGGAAAGAAGCTTAGCCATCCTGAATCAGGAGACCTGACGTACTCCACTACCAGGTCCACCATACAAACACATGTTGTAACAAATAAAAACATCATGGACTTTAATAATTCATTTGGGATAGTTTTTTCAATATTCTTTTTCCTGCTATTGTATATAGAAAAAAGAATTTTATTACTGAAAGACAATACACTTAAAAATGAGAACAGGAAGTGTAATCAAACACAGCTTGGAAAACCAGGTAATGTGTCTGCACAAAACTATGTGATTTTTGTTTTCCTCCCTTCTCCCACCTCCTTAGAGCTATTCAGGCTGCATTCTTGAAAACTAGATGGAAAATAAGGCTTCTGAATTGTTTCCAAAACAATGAAATCTCAAAGTGACCATTTTTTCCTGTACAGCATTCAAGCAATGATCAATACTCCAAGACAATGGAGTGAAACTTTTCTACATGACACTACATAAGGTGGACTCCAGAGACTAGACCTGAGAATCCATGACAATTTACTGTTCAGCTTTAGTCTTTTATACAGATAAAAATAACATTTTTGATGCCTTTTGTTTATTCGGATAATGAATACACTTGATATATTTGTTAAAAATGGGAGGAGTTAGTCTTAAAATATACAGGGTGCCTGAAGACATAGAACTTACGGCAAATCATACAGGTACTTTTCTATTTTGTCTTTGACTTAATTTTTCTCTTATGAATTTATACGGCGATAAGTGAATTATTTAGGAGCAGTTAAAAAGCTTATATAAGTTACAAGCTTCTGCAGACACAAATCTTGGACTAGCTGCTTTTAAACCACTTTTCAAAACACAAACTTAAAAAGTACCTGTATGAAGGTTTCGGTGAACCTTAAAGAGGTGGCTTCCTAAACCTTTCAACATATCCCTTTTTATATTATCTTTTAAGTTGCATATAGTAAACAGCAACTAGCAAGCCCTTTAAAATCTACTGCCTACAGATACCACAGTCTTATATCAGCAAATCTCAAAGCACCTATTTATAGAAACAAAGGTTCACAGTTGCCCCATCCCATAAATTAATTTCACAGTTTTTCAAAGCAGTTTATCTCCTGATATACCGAGTCAGATTAAAACACTTTCCCATTAAAGAAGTTCAGTTACACATTGATGCAAAAAGTGACATTCATTTAACTTACAGATATTTCAGATTTTCAAGGTCTTCAAATGCCCCACTAGGTATTCTTTTGATTTGATTATTGTTTAGAAGCCTATAAAAAGAAATAAACAGCCATTGATTTTAACATACAGGCACACTAGGGGAAAAAAAAAAGTGTAATAGCAGGTGTAATGTAGCATTAAAAAGAAAACTTAAAAAAAATAACAAAAGAAAACACTTTCCCCTAACCGTAACTGTTAGAAGAATAAGTGACGTGCTTACAGCTGCTCAGTCACTGCCCTGCAGGAGAAAACTCTGAAAAAAATAGACAGAAATAAAAAAAGAAAAAAAAAAATCTAAAAATTGATACAATGTGGCTTTTTGTAGGTATCCGAGATGAAGATGAAGGGAAAAAAAATCTTGGTCTCAAGTCTACACATCAGTTTGAAATTGATAAAATCACTGTTAACAAAAATTTGTCATTAGCAGGGGCATTAAAGTGAATGTTCCTAGATGATGCTTAGCAATATTCTGGGTACTGGGCCCTTTACAACATACAGGAACACAACTGCCTATTCACAGATTTGCACTCATCCCTCACGCAGTGGTTTTATGAAGAGAAGGGAATCCAAACTTAACGAATCCTGTCTTTATCCGGGACTACTGGATCTCAGATCAGTGATTTGGACAGTTAAAACTTGAGGTTGAGAAATTGTAATTCAAAACTGGGGATCAACTGCAAACAGAGGTATGATCAAAAGTGACTGGAAGTAGGGATAGCTGGTAAAAACATCTTGGTAGCACAGATTTGGACAATATACTTCTGGGGGAACATCCTATCATTTATTCTGGTGTGAATATACACTACAAGATGTCTCAATACATTTGTTGTTATGTGCTTGCAAGATAAATAGATAATAGTGATCCAAAGCTCACTGATATTACTACTGTATTTCAGTTCACACACTACTTCTGTTCTAGAAAACAGTCAAATTTGTAATATATATATAAATTACGTACATTTAAAAGTAAAAATAACCATCTTACTTCTTCCTCATGTCTGCTAATATATTAGAGAAGAGAAACATGCATGCATTTGTCTCAAAAGTGATGTTTGAAGTAATGACAAAGAAGATACGAACTTAAAACTACAATACACATACTATTTGCACTACAGTTTGTAAAAAGTCCTTTAGAAAACACAAACTTCTCTTCACAAACATATATGATAACAAAGACCTCCATAAAAGGCAGCTCAGTGGGAACAAAACCTTCCAACTTCTGCCAGTCCTGGTGAGCACGTTAGAACAGGGAAGTTCAAAACATTAGTTTGTCAAATATTTTTGTAACTGCAACACACTTGTACATCTGAGCCTTTGAACAGCTTTGTTGTAACTCCACAACTTATCATGTCATATTCCACGAAAGTAATTTTGCACAATTTGGAAAAAGTATACAGTAAAGCCCTGTATTTCTCATACCTCCAATTAAAGTATGTTAATAAAACACGAGGATGTAAATAATTTCTTTTTTTATTTTAATCAGGCTGGTTTTGCTTTCAAATCCTTTGGGCCTGAACCCCACTTCCCTCACCTGTGTAAATACTACAGCTGAAATTTGTGAGACTACTTACCTGTGATCAGTGAGCAAATTTGACACATTATCAAATTAATCATATTAAATCAAAAGGGGAAAGGGCCTTAGGGTTGAAAAAGAACTTACAGTGTGTTCAGGTTTTTAAGCCGTCTAAACTCTCCAGGCTGGATTTCTTTAATCCTATTAAATCTTAGGTCTCTGTAGAATAAAGAAAGAAGAATCATGTTATAAAAAACATCTATGTATTTCTTCATGTGAAAAAACGAACTAAGCAAAAGTCATTTGTGACGACCGTGACCAGCCTCCATCCACAAACCATAGCTTTTGACCAAAGGAGAAGGCAAAACGAACCCAAAAACTGTTTGACAAGTTTAAGCAGAGGGTTGACCAAACCCAGCCTCAGCGGTCAATACTGAAGGCTGCATCAAAGCTGAACCTATGGGCATGAAGGATGTTCTCTTCCACAGTAGAGCAACTTGTAATGGGATGATGAATTGTATTTCACTAAACTGAACTGACTCCGTATTTTAAAAGCTGCTTGTAAATAATACAGGAAATAAAAATGCTTGTAAATAAACAGATATAGAAAAATTGGGATCAGAAAAAAGCTCAGGAAAAAGAGACAGCTTTCAAGACTTTTAAGCCACTCCATTCTTTTGTTTTGGGTAAGGAGGCTTAAGTGCCTTATGTTGTCCTGCTTTTACAACCTGTAAATCCGGCTGCCTGAAGCTATTTATGCTCTTATTTAATTTTACTTTCTCTTAGTTTTTCATATGGTCTTACCGCCTTCAGTTTCCTGTTAGATCTATAGCCTAATTAGAGCTTCTCCAAGAAGAACGAAACCGCTTTCTCAAGCGAGGCGCTGCAGAGCAAGCAGGGACAGGGAGCGAGGCGGCAGCAGCGTGGGGACGGGGGAAACGCCGTGGCCGCGCCAGTCCCACACTCTCTGCTGCTGGAGGAAGGCGGCAGGGTCTTCCACCTCCACCCACCTCCTGTCCGCCCCCGGCCCCGAGTCGCACGGTCTTGCTGCTTGCCTCCACTGGCTGTTGTATCCCCAGTGGCTCAGAAACTCAGGACCAGCAATAAACCCATGCAAAAAAAAAAACCAACCAACCCAGGAAATAATTTTCTGCCTGATTAGCAAACTGAATGGGCTTCCTGGGAGGGCACACAGGTGAGAGAGGGACTGCAAGGAGAGATCAGGCCCAGGGGAAAGGAAGAAGGGCAGCAGGTCTGTCCTCCTCCCTAGCAGCAGACCAAGGACACCAGGACCTTAGGGTCTCTGGCAAGTGAACAGAAGGGAAGCAAACGGAAAGTAAGTAAAATCTGAAAGACTGTGATCACACCTATTGCACTGTCCTTCCTAGAACACACACCTACCAATTGCTTTCAAAAGTAGGACATAAACGCGTCATAACTTCAATCTTTGCGCCAAAAGCAGTCCTAATTAAAACATAAATATGCACTGCGTTTTAACGGGTAATATGGCATCAATAAGTCTCTTGGGAATTTGGTACTTAGTCAAAGGAAATACAGAAAAGCAGACAAAAAGTCAGCTGCATACTAATCCCATATAACCCCACTGTACGTAATGGAGGGTATAGTTGCCTGAAGTCTTTTGCAAAGAGCATACTTAAGCATCATTCCTCATGAATCAGCCCAACAGGGCTTATTCAGCTCTGGAATAATGGCCTCAGAAGGACTTTTTCTACATAAGTGGTTTAGGATGTGGCCTACTGTTCATTGTAAGGAAAGGATTAGACATGTGGTTCTGTTTGCATTACACTCCACCAAAATATTTGATCAGTGACTGGAATAAATGAGGGATGTAAACTGCTATCCCTTATTTAGATGCATAGTTAAACTGCCTGTAGACATGCAGGACGGCCCCATTACTCAACTCCTAGCTTAACTGAGGATTTCCAGATTTAGAAGCACAAATTTTCATAGCTTGAATTTGTTCTTTACCAAAGCACCTTCTTCAGTTACTGCTAAACAGCATTACGTTTTGTTCATCACTCACACAAGAAATACTCACTTATCACATACGAAACACACATGCCCCTGATGAGAGGGATGCTGCCTATGAATCACTGAATCTCAGGTGCCGAGATTTTCTACACGACCATTGAATGTCGTAGCCTGCACTGACAGAAGATACAGCAGATCCCTCTGTAAGCATCATTGGACATGACATTCCACTTTACTGAAGCTTTTTCTAGATTGTCTGAAAGTTTATTGTGTTTCAAGGAAGTGTTTTAATTTTGATTAAAATAATCAAAAGTGCAAAAATCCAATATTCATTAATGGAATATTGGAAACTGAGAATTTTTCAAAAGCCTCAAAATACCATTACAACTAGCAATATTTAGCTCCTAAACAACACAGGACTTCTCAAATTGATATTTCTTTTTTAAAGTTCCACAGTTAAAAATAAATCGTTACCCAAACTAGGCATAGACAGAATGCAGAATGTCTTTTTAGCTAAAAAAAACCCCCCATACATTCATCCATATGAAAAGCAATTCCCTACAGTGAAGCAAAGCTGATAAATAAGTACGTAACTTTCACGAATGCAATGAAGGAGCTGGTCCTCTGAGTCAGCATCAAAATGAGGACCCTTTTGATGTATCAAATCCATTCTGCAGTAAATTGCTAGGATAACTAGGGATTAGCAACATCAATCAAAATAATTTATATTATTTTACTATCGCCGCTTATAGTGATATTTTATCCCAGCTCCTGACACTATTGCCCTTCTCCCGTGAAGTTGTTAAGACTAAATAATACATCGTTTGAAACCCTACCCATTCGTTTTCATTCTGCATAAAGGTATTAAAAAAGAGCTGTAATAAAGCACAGCACCCAAATTTTCTCTAGAGCCCAGTGCATTTGGTATCTCTAAGTAGATACCATAGAAAGCTATGATGATGATACATTTTTATAAAGATTAATTATATGTTTTGTTTAAAGTTGGTACCACAATTACATTAAAATTGGAGAAAAAACAATGTTAATCTTACTAAAATGTAGGATTACAATTTTGGTACATTCCTTCAAAGGGGAGCTCTTTCTTCAAAGGAAGTAACACTTCTAAGTGTTAACTTGAAGTTTTTTCATTAATTTTTCAGCACAAAATCCCCCAAAATAGTGAGGCTGATCACAAACACTGCTCATAATAAAGAACACACAACCTCTTTTGTTCTCTAAATTAATATAATTATACTTCATGAGGTATTTCTTGTACACAGAAAAGTTAAGTCATAACCACTGTAAATTTCTCAAGAAGAAATTCTGTCAAACTGTCTTAATTTACTTATATAACAGGATAATAAGCCAAGTGGATAAAGGAAATAGAGTATACATTGCATACATTAGTTTAAGGGTTTTGATACAGGCCATTCACATTAACAAAACACAGAAATATGGTTTAAAGGAAATCTCCGTAAACCAAGTGTTCAACTGGTTGGGAAAAAGAGGATAAGTAAAGACTAGTTATTGAACTGAAAGGTTGTATCAGGTAGATTTGGGCAGAAATCTGCCATAAGGTACTAAATATTTTAAGACAAGGTTGGTAGAACTAAAAAATAAGCTTTTCAAGTTTGCATATGTTAGCAAATTTGGAGTGGCTGTAACGATTCTGGAAGATGTTTGAGATTAGAAACAAGCCTGAAGTTATAAATCCCTGAGAAATGGAAATAACCAAACAGCAATGAGACAGGGAAGAATCAGACAGCCACCAGATCTTTCAAAGGCAATTAAGGTTTCAGTAGATGATGAAAAAAAAAGTTAAAAAGCCTCAGTCACCACTGCCATACCATTGTAGACAACAACACATTCCATACGAAACAGGAGTACCATTTCTCAGGCTTGAAATGTCATCCTCCCATGGTGGAGACCCCATGTCCAGCTTATGGGAACCGACCGCATTTCAGAGGACAGGAGAGGAGCTCAGAGGAAAAGTGTAACAGCAAGGGGAGCGCAGGGAAACATCCCCTTGGAGAGTGAAGGGCAGGAATGAGGACTGTGTTAGATTGAAAAAGGAGTAAGGGTAGCTCAAGCAGGCCATTATGATCCAGACCTTCAAAGACACTTTGTGCTGCTGAAATAACGTGTGATTAATCAGCATGATGAGGTTTCTTGTCCCTTTTTTTCAGACTAGTTCCTGCCCAACCATGCTGCCACATGACTTTTTACTCACAAAAGCCTGTTCCATGCCCATTCATTTCTCTTTCACCTTTTTCGTTGTTCCCCATTTTGCTCTTACAAACTGACTGCATCCTGGCTGCGTGCTGTGCTTTGGGGCTTAGCGAGCCCGACTTCCACTGACCGGCCAGAGTGCAGCAAAAGGTTAAACCAGCAGACTGAGGGAGTCCACGCCAGTTGCTGACTGTCATTTGTCCCCTCCCTAATCTCTAAATAATAAATGAAACAACCAATAAAAATTATGCATACACCTATGATGATGGCACAGGATTTTAGGTTACTATAATAACTTTTGCATAATAATCCAAACCAAAATGTCATACATTCAGTTTTTCAAATCAAAATCTAGTACACCGAACTCCTAATTCAGATTGTCTCCTGTATTATGTGTTTCACAGTGAAAATATTTACTCCGTAAAATGATGCCTAGACAACATAATAATATTTTAGGGAAGAGTATGCTACTGCTGCTTTCTTGTATTGAATTCTCTTAAGTTGTGGTCCTGTACCTAAGCATCTTCCTTCAGAGAAATTCTGCCTGACCTCCAAAAAGTCTTTGCTAACAGTGTTATCTCTTGGCTCTCATTCTCAAACACAGCCACGTGTATATACATATATAAAAAAAGAGTAATTACAATGAAAACGACCTTTCCCTTCTACAAAAAGCCCTAAAGGTCGTTTTTCTGTCAATTCACAAAAACATCCTAAATACTAACGGTTACCACTGTCCTCCTTCTTGCACCCTCTGCAGCTCAACGATTTAAGTTGTGAAAATACACTTCAACTACACAGACTCTCACAGAAGCTAAGCCTGTCACTTTGAAGCATTACATCTCCCTTGAACAACACAAACAAAAGAACATGTCAACGACGCCTAGTAAACTGAATACTCCCAGGATTATTTTCCTGGCCCCACGTCATCTGCTCTGTGCTAATTCACGGAGTGGGACCAGGAAATGTTCGGCAGAGCACGACGCTGTGTGGGCCAAGAG